TCACAATGTTTCCCTTCACCGTTCGAGCGAATGTTAAATGCGCTCGTAAACGAAAGTCCATTGGTGCACAGCCGGGGATCGACCCTACGACCTCAGGGATGAGAGTTGCAGGCTGAAGCCACTATGCCAACACTGCTCAGTTAACGTAATTAATACCTACTTTTTAATTGTATAATATGCAATATAAATTTTTGATTTATCTTTATGTTCCGGAACTTTACGCGCACAGGCCAACAAACGAAGTGTGTGTGTTGAAATTGGTGTGTCGATGCAATAATTTTTAATGACTAAATTGACAAGGTAATAAAATAAACGAATTCGTTTATTAACAAAAATTTAGTCCTTACTTATATAACAAAGAATCTTAATAACATAAAACGATACATAGTAATCAATATCCATAGCGAAGATTAAATTTCTCAATCGGCTATTGAACTTGCGTTGTGGCCGAATCTGAGAGAAAGCTTCTTGGATATTTTTAGATTTACTCAAAAAGTTTCCTTTAAGAAATGAATTTAATCATTCTCAGAAACTAAACACTCAGCTTCTAGGCTATATGTAAATTGTATGTTGGTGATTAATTTAGTTGAAATAGTTATTACTTGAGTACATTACATACACCCACATATTTTGTACATGTTATTGCTGCTCAAATGTGGAGTCTAGGAGTAAATTAAACATTCAATCTAAAATAAAGATATTTCTATATAAGAGTATTGTTGGCTTAGTAGCTTGAGCGTGCGTCTGAGGTCATAGGTTCATACCTCGGCTGTGCACCAATTTTTATGTGCGCATTTATAGTCGCTTCGGTGAAGGAAAACATCGTGAGGCAACCGGCTTTAGACACAAAAAGACGTTGTGCTTCAGGCAAAGAAGGAATATGGGGCCAAGAGAGGTTGTAGCGCGTATTATATAATATATAAAGCTTTATAACCATATTCACGAAATTTTATGCGTATCCTTATCTCTTAGTACTTTTACCTAATTTAAAAAGTCATCAGTGACCTGAATGTGTTGGGTAACATTTGGGAATTTTATATATACAGCTCGGCCAAGCACTTGTTCTAAATTTCTTAAGTACATACTTATATTTGTCTTTCCATACAATTATATGGTCTAAGTTTCATCAAAATCGGTTCATTCGTGTTTGAGATCCACTCATTACTTGTAGACGTATTGATATATTGACAGGTATATTTAGTTTCAAGAGCAGTGTTGGCCTAGTGGCTTTAGCCTATTTTAAAAGAGTAAGTGTGGAGTTTCTTGTCCATTCTTCTCCACACGAAACTACCTTTTGGAAGGGGCAACTAGAATCATCTTTATACTTTATTTGACGATCATAAGTGCCATTTTAAGTGGTCTAATTGAAATAAATGAAATGACTTGACTTGACCTGCGACTCTCATCCCTGAGGTCGTAGGTTCGATGCCCGGCGGTGCACCAATGGACTTTCTTTCTATGTGTAACAATCGCACGAACGGTGAAGGAAAACAACGTGAGAAACCAGCATGCCTTGGACCAAAAAAAAAATAGTAGGTTGATCACCTACTTGCCTATTAGAAATGATCACAGCACAGATAAAGAAATCTAAGGTCCAGACCTGAAAAGGCCGTAGTGTGATTTTATTATATTCAGTTTCATTTCTCTTTTTATTACCATCTGGAAAATCTAAATTATATGAAGCCATTTGAAACTGTCAGCTTACTTCCCTTACCCATTAGTCCTTTCATCCCTCTTCAGCTTATTTCCGATGAGGAACCACTCTGATGAAGTCCATTTGACAAGACCAACAATTTTGATGACTATGGTTGCGGAGATAAATTATTTAAAGTCGGGGCAGGAGGAAGAATTGACCAATGTAGTTTTATAAGCAGGTACTTCACAAATGGTCGTACATTCGAATCTCGTGCACTAAACACACGTACGGTGAGAGAAAGAGCGACAGCGTCTTAGACTAAATGACAGCACAGAAGAGTGTTATTTACTTTAAAATATATATATAAATCTAAAGTAGAGAATTTAAATAAATTAAAAAGTTTGGTCCCCGTGGTAGTGTACCTTTAACGCTGGCATTTCCTCGCTGTATTGCGATACTTATTCGTTGAGGAAAGCACCAGCTTTGTGGTAACCGGTACTATCTACCAGGCGCCAACTTGTAATTTTTAATTAGCCGTGCACTTGAACTCCACAACCCAAAAGTCTCTACTCCAAAGGGAACAAAATCAAAGTCGGAGTCGGTTTTTTTATTTATAAACATACGACTTATTATTGTATTGTCCTTATTAAACGTGGTAAAAGATTCTTTATCGAATTAAGTACGTTTTTTAATAATGTCAAGTACAGTTAACATGTCAAATGGAAGAAAATCGTAGTGTGCACTTTATTTTACCTAAATATACAGGATATTTATTTATTATTGTTTATAATAAAGATTTTCTTTCTTTCTTACTTAATATAACCGTTTAATGGTATATTTAGTATAATAAACTGATAGTAAATGTAACTTTAGAATTAATTTAACATCTTTTCTGTTGACGTTCATAAGTGTACTTGGTTACCTATATGAATAAACAAATTTTGAGTTCGAATTTAATAGAAATTTTGTAGGGACATTAGTACATAGCACGGAGTTTCAAAATCACCGCCCATGGGCTGTGTTATAACTTAACATGCCATCAAAAGCGGTAAGCGTGACTCCCGAATGTCAAAAATGAAGAAGCTATGTGTCTATCTATCTCAAATGATACGTTTCTAAAGTTAAAATATTAAATTCTAGCAAATAAAATAAAATTAAGATAACGCAAGTAATTCTTTTTTGTACCATGCATTCCGAGTATAATGAAACTTATTAAAGCTTACAAATGCGAGATTTATTCTCCCTCTCTTCAAAATTGCATTTATTTTATGTTATTGGGAAGGAAACGCGTACTTGAATTTTTTTTTTTTTTTTTGACAATTCACACCAATTGACCTAGTCCCATGCTAAGCTGGTGAAACTTGTGTTATGGGTACTAGGCAACGGATATACATACATATTATAGATAGATAGACATATAAATACATATTTAAACATCCAAGACCTAAGCACAACACCAAATGCTCATCACATCGATGTTCGTCTCAGCCGGGAATCGAACCCGGGACCCATGGATTCGCAGTCAGGGGTACTAACCACTAGACCAATGAGTCGTCAAATTGTCGTCTGTAGTCGTCTTGAATGGAGACAATATATTTTGTTTAAAGTAGAAAGTTGTATTTTTTTAAAAGCTTATTTTAATGGAGAAAAAATATTACAAAGGTACCTCTTTAGTAAATAAATGAACTGTCTTTGACTTCTTTTGTGTAGCAAAATTATTGAAGTTATACTTCTTTTGGCGCGTTAGGGAAAAATGATAAAAGTAAATTTTTACGATGTGCGCGCACACCGTCACAAAAAACCGACACCCTGAAGTTAGCTATAGTACATTTTAGTTTTTCTATTGTTAGTGTAGTTTTTTCTAAAAACGTAGAATACATTTTTGAAAAGATTTACATACATACACACGTTTTCTTTTTAAATTATCATATAAAATATTTGGGGAATAAATAAATCTTTTGTTTGACTTACATATGACTACACGAAATATGATTTTCCTTAGAGATCTCATCTAAAGCTTTTTAAACCAATTAACTTTCCGCGCTGCTAATAAACTAAGGGCTGTTCAAATGACCGATCCGTAAAAAATATCCTATGTATTTAGGTTAATGCTACCGGGTTTTAGGACTACTTTGATGTGACCCTCATAATGGACCCGCACTTAATGCTTATAAATATGTTAAATTGGGAGAAAATATTACCTCAAAGATGTATATCATAAGCTTACCTTACTATTTCCATTTACATATGAGTACACGAAAAATAAAATTCGGCGAATATGAAAAATTTGTTAATATTATTTGTGGTCATACATTATCATACATTGGCAATCAGGACTATTAGGCCGGGAGATAATGACACAATATAGTGGGTCATTTGTACCAGTATAGCGGTTCTTCAGGGGTCTTATTACGAAATGAAAAAAGAAAAATGATGATCACATATTCGTGACGTTCCGTAAAAATTTTACCCTCATGCGCCTTAAGAAGTTTCACTTCAAAATGTTAATTATGAAAAGCCAGCCCCGATAAATTAAGTTCAAACGGATAACATGTTTTAATATCTGTGCAGTTTTTGTTTTTTTCTCTTGAGCTCTTATCAAAATTTACTCTCATCAGATATGTACAAAATCCCCGCCGCTTGTCTGGTCGATGTATATGCAAGAACTACGTGGAGGATGTTACTGCGGTTTTTATGTATATGATGATTTATGGGGTTAGGATATATTTTTTTAAGTTAAGGGCTAAAGAGCTTCCGTAGCCCAATAGTTAACGTACTAGGTATATAATCTGGAGAACCTGGGTTCGATTTATCCTTAAACAATAAACAACTACACAGGTGCAGAAATGTCCTTTTTTATTATTTGAATTACAGAATCAGGATAAACACATTTTAAAAGTCAAATAATAAGTCATTCCCAACTCAATTTTTGAAAACAGATACTCGAGCAAATATTTACAAAAATTAAGCCTTTAAAATTATTGATAACAAAAGTATGTACAAACAGTACTTAAGATGTTCTTCTTGAAAACTTTTATATTTTTCCGCAAAAATTTCGAAGTTTCAAAGTAATTTCGGAAACACAATAATCTTGATCAGGTGCGGGCGATCTCACAGAATATTTTTTATTTAAAAATTATTCAGAAATTGTTTACTTATTTCATTCAAGAGGTTAGGTTTATTATGCTTTCCAATGGATTCTTTGGCATTATTATTGCCTGGGTATCATGATTGGTTACCAGTCGGAGAGCAAATTATACTTTTAGTTCTAATTCGTTCTCCACTTCTGGTCATCCTCTCACATGGAGTGTGGATATGATCGGTAAAAGTATCGTCATTTATCCACACACCGCTTGCAAGGACAATGGCAGATAGACAAACAAGGTGGGAAGGACCACCAGGGAAAATAAAGAGTTAGAGGGGAAGATGGGGAAAAATGCTCAAGATTGAGAGAGATTGAGACAGTAGGAGGAGGCCTAATCTCTAGTAGAGGTCTTTGAAAGAAAATATATTTATTATTGAAAATAAAATAAAATTATTTCTGTATAAATTTTAAGTATATGTAGCTTTAGTAAAGATGGATGAATGTTTCAAGGCTACTGTGGCTTAATTATTGTTATAATTACAGTAGTATCCTAATTTCAAGTATTAAATTGAGATATTATGGTTATTCTGTAAAATACTAATTTAGTTTTGTTTGTATGTAATCTGTTTGCGCTAAATCGGTTTCAGTCAAAAGAGGATGACAATTGTCGATTTTGACTGACACACGAACCGGAAACGGTAGGTGGAGCTGCGGCGTAACGCCTTTAGTACACCTACGCGTTCGTATGCGGCTGCGAGTCTTTGCGAAATAATTGCGGTAGCGAAATATCTGCGGAACGTTAGTACACTGCAGTTTTTTCGCAAGGAAATGTCATTGTAGCTTTATTTCTTACCATCTATCCCCGTCTTTTCTTGAATTTTCCTCCATGCCACCTCTTTTTTTGTATGCATTTTTGTAATTAACATGCCCAAATAAATATAATTCGGGATAATTTCGAATCAAATTTAATAATAATTCAATATTTTTGGCTTCCATTGTGCGAAATTCTGTCCTCACTAACAGAACGCGTGGTGACGCATTGCGATGCGAAACTCCGCTAGCGAAACGGCTGCGTCTGTGTAACAGCCATTTCGCAGTTACTTGCGAAACAATACCGACAAGGACGCAACTATTTCATCTAGCTTTATAATAGAGCGAGACAAAACACATGCGAAACGTTGCCATACAACTTACAGTTTTTTCGTCGTTTCGCTGCCGCATGCGATTGCGGCATGCGATTGCGTAGGTGTACTAAAGGCGTAATGGCGCAAGGATGAGTAGGTGGAAATTCACCGCTGTCGCGTTCGCACTAACATTAGACCGCATACCGTACCGTATTTTCTTTTGACGTTTTGTTTGGAGTATGACATACCACCGTTAATGGGAATTGCTAGTCTTAGTCTGATCGATTCTTAGATTCGTTTTTTTATTATACTGACACGTGACAGCCTAACCAGCGCATAGTATTTTACCGAGGGAAGGGATCATCCTGGATATTGCTTTCGGATACCCAGGCCCACAAATAATGTATCCTTTTCATAAAAACAATTGAACAAAAAAAAGTAACACACACAAAATACACTAAGAAAATTAACAATAGAGAACATTTTAGCAACTGATGTACAGTGTTCATTAATTCCAAAAGAGCAGATTTCAAAATACATTCAGTACAATTATAAATTCTCTTGGCAAACTTTTCACCTTAGAAGTATCTAGATCTTACGATTCCGTAATATTGTGACGCAAATGAAGAGACGTCTTTTGTCTTCCGAAGCATTGTAGTTTTGAGAGACTTCTCAATGAGGGCGCGAACAAAATGAGCAAGGTCTATATGGGTTAAACTTATATTAGCCAAGTTGGAATTATTTTTGGGTCACGTCTTATCTCAGTGTTGGCCTTGTGGATGCTGATGTATTCCAATCCTGGCTGAGCCTTAGCTTAGGTAGTGTAGAAACCGGCATGGGTTGATCAAAATTGACGCCACGTTTGGACGGGGTTGTGGGCCTAGGTATGTTTTGTGAAACACACCTATCAATTTGACTCTGTTTTTTTATAGGCAAAGTAGCCTATGGGACGCCAAAAAAGGCAGTCATCGCAGGGCATAGACACCAAATTTTAGTGGGTGCGTTGCATATTGTAGCGTTAATATTTTTAGTGTGGATTTTTGCGTTTGGTTTTTGTTGTATACTTCTTTTTTTTTTACTCCAAACACCCTTACCCTTTTTATATATTATATGCAATATCTCGTCCAAAACGTTACAAATAATACGAGTTTTGGCCGCTTAAACAAGTTGAATCTTAATTCTAATATTATTGCAAGAATAATATTTCTTGTACACTAAAGTTAGCAATGATTCCTAACTAAACATTTCTAAAGTGAATATATATATTATTAACCATAAAAAGCAAAGCTTTAAACGATATAAAGAAAACTCTATCAAATCTAGTCGGCATTCAAAATCATATCAAAAAGATAGCAGAGCTTCTAAATCAATCAGACAAATTCCTTCACGCAATATTCGCCCTTACGTAAATGGATAAGAGCGCAAAATGGTATGTTATATTTAGATAAAGTCATAAGATATTGAGGCAGCTGTTATCATACAGATTGATTCATTGTAAGAATATGTGTGGGGTCGCTCAATTTGCCTTCATTTCTTTATCCCGACTCTACGCCGCGTGTTGAATCTAAATGCCCGTGCGGAGTCAAACTGCAGGCGATATTTATATTTAAGCACCCTTCAAACAAACGAAACCAGCCACCTGTCTTTAGACGCAATGACTCAAAAAAATATATTTTCTTCACTCCCTTAACAGGTTAAAGAGGATTGCCTCCCAGTATCTTTATTAGCTACGTGCCTACGTAGGAATGCAATTCCTCAGGACAAATAGGGAATGGTTAATATAAGCTTTGTTTAATTTATGGACAAACAGTTGAGAAATATCTTGTTTAATAACCTAGCTAGTACTTAAATGATGAAAGTAACTGTAATACAATAACATTGTATCGTGTTTGTAGAAAGTGCCTAGCGAAAAAACAAGGTATATAACGAAGTGAGATAGGATAAACGAAAAGGAATGACAAAGACAATCGACGGGAAAAGAGACACACAAAGTGGACGGGAAAGGAGAACTAAACATAATAACGAGAAAGCTCGACCTGAATTTTATCAAAAACAAGACCTGCAGATAAATTATAGAAGATAATAACGTAGGCATTGCATTTAATTTTGACATCAGAGTTTACTTTTTAATATAATAATAGTGACATTGAAATTACTATTACTATAGACTATCAAATAGTCGTTAATTTATAGATCTAATATTGACAAGTCAAATAAACCACTAGTATTAACGGTTTTGAACTAATTTGACTTTGATGTTATTCAAATATTAAGTTATTGTTTGATAAATTCAAATTTAATGACGTGAAATAAGTGATACATGTATCTTATGTTCCATAGTAAACATATTTTTTTTTAAATTAAATTATAATGACACTGGCAGGTGATACTAACGCCATTTCTGTGACATTAATAATAATGACTATGAAATTACTATTACTACATACTAGCAAATATTCGGTAATTTTTGGAACTAGTAATATTGGCAAATCATTATAACACTTTGACACAATGGCAGCGCCATTGTTTCAATATATATATGATATAAAGTATTCTTTAAAATAAACACAAAAATACTCACGCTCTTGTCATGACGCAAACGCAATTAGAAAGACTAAAGAGTACTTTACTTAAAAAAGAATAATCAGAGAAATATAACGATAGGCATAGACAATATGGGTTATATTATCGCTATCAAAGGCACCGCATAGTAATCTCGCATTTATATTCGGGAGGAGCCGTTGGGAACAAACCTTAGCGGAGGTCGCCCAAATCCCCAGGCTTTTCGAGTTCAAAACTATTTTTGAATACCGATCCCCGAATACTAATTACCAACTGATTCCCCACGAGATAGTTACGTTTGATGGCCGTAATTCAAGGCTGGGTTATTATATTTAATAGCGCTAGCACGTGTTTCTATAATTTTCAATAGTGGATAGGTTTTGTATAGGATTTTATGACTTCTAAATTATAGACTTCTGTTATATGGAAGTACATAACAAATTAAGTCAAAGTCAATTAGGCTTATTAAATAGGCACTTTTGAAAGTCAAAATTACAAGATAAAAATATTTAAAACAGTTGACTTTAGTTGCCCCTTCTAAAAGGTAGGCACGAAACTCCATACTTACTCTTTTAAAATAGTTTTTACAATATTTTGTATACATTAATTTGCTATTTATATGTAAAGACCTAGAATAAAAAATGTGTTATAAAAAAACAAAGCAGTAGATAACTAAATTATTATGTACTCACATATTTTCACATATTGCAATTATGGATTTTACATTATTCTTTATAAATAAAATAATATACAGTCAAACAGTGTGTGAGCTACTCCATAGTTTCTTTATTTTTCAAAAATATTTGTCTAGTATAATTGTCCTATGGAGCAGGACCAGCAGAATTTTTATCTTGAATATAATCCTCTAATTTGTAATATACTTATCTACAAAGTGTATTTTTAATAAAAAAATTAGTTAAAAATAGTAATATTTTTTTATTCGTACATTAGACTAAAATATATCTGTTATTACATATTTAATAAACCCTTTGTTAATGCCTATCCAAAGTCTTCAATAAAATTTTATTCAACTCATCATCAATTTATTCATTCTTTATTATTTACAGATACCAAAGAATCAGTAGGAAGCGCGACAGCATCAAGTTCGGATGATGAGGACCCCGGAGAAGCCTGGATGAAGGCACCAGCTGGTACTGTGGCTGTGAGGAGTGGGGAGGATGCTCTTCTCACCTGCGTGGTGCTTGGTGCCAGGGGGAAACCAGTGCTTTGGAGGCGCGCCAGGGATTCACTGCTTCTGACTGCTGGTGGAGTCAGGGTCACGAGAGACGACAGGATCAATGTACTGCATGATGACTGTAAGACTATTTCAAACACAGTCTGTTCGAAATAAATAGTTTTAGTATTTTAATGTATGAAACATTTTTATGAGGGTGATCTAAAACATTGGCCGATCGTCACATTTTTTATTTTTTGAAAACCTTTTTGCCTTTATTTGTTAGTAGTCACGTCCTCAATTTTATAATTTTGTAGCGAGTGTTTTTGCGATTTGTGACTATTGTAAGGCAAAGTATCAGTAGGTTACCAGTCTAACCTCTCTTATTGTTCCCAACCTAATATAATTTCTCAAAATCCTTACGACTGACAATTGTGTGCTTTTCTTCTTGTTCAGGATATATTGAAACGAAAGTACTCAGGACTTATTATTTAAGTATAAAATTGTGTATCGACGGCCACCGAACCGTTCTTTGTGGTACAGTCTTTATAAATTTCTTATAACCGTAGATTTATTATACCTCTTTTGTTGTGGTTGTTCGACCAGGAAACGAACCCAGAACCCACGGAATATCTGTTAGCTATAAAAGTCTTAGCTAGTTAGAAAACCCAGTATATCATATATATATATATATCGAATCACGGCTGTGCACCAATGGATTTTTCTTTGTGCACGATTAACCTTCCTCCTACAGTGAAGGCAAACACCATGAGGAAACCGACATGTCTTAATCCAAGAAATGCATTTGGCACGTAAGGCTGATTACCTTGTGTATCTCTCTCTTTAATCGGCAGCTCATGTCTGAGCGTCGTAGTCAGCAACGAAGCATCTGCGGACTATCTATTTCCACCGGTAGGGGAGCGTGGGGCTAGTTGTAACAATTTTAACAAATAATTGAATATCATGAAGAATATTGGCTAAATTACTACTAAATAAACTTTGATCGATACTCTAACTATTTATCTATGAAGTCGAATCGAAATATTATCAAATCTACAGGTAACTATCTCACAATTATTTTTTTCTAAAAGAGAAGTGTTACAACTTACCCCGTGGTTGGGGCTAGTTGTAACAACAAAAATGACACCTTCAATCGTTTAATTTTTTCACATCTTGGATCATTTTATCTCTTAGTTCTACCTTACATCTTACCATCGCAGATTTGTTAACTTTTCCTTCCCCTTTCACTTTTCTTTATCATCTTCTTTTTGCATTTTCTTCATCTTTTCTTCATATTCTACTCTCAAAGCTTCTTTTTCAGGCGTATCAGTCAGAACAGCAGACTTCCTTTTGCGTCTGCAATTTATATTTGTTTTTCGTGGTGGCGCCTTTGGTAATGGTCTAACTTTTGATGGGAAAAATAGATTTTGACCAGAGCAACTTGGAGTTAGTTTGTTCGCAGTTTCAATGTGGCGTATAATTTGTGTTGTGCTGATATCCACTTCAGGAGCAGAATCTAATAGTTCTGGATGTTTAAGACTCAACGATAAATTCTCACTTTCATTTAGAACATTTTCTGATTGTTCTGTAGGCTCTGGATGATCAGTAACATAAGAGAGCGCAAAGTATCTAATACTCTCGCATAAACTATCTTGGAAAATATCAACATTCAAAGGCCAAATACCAGAAGCTTTAAGTCCACTGATAATGACTCCTTCACTACACTTGGGATGTCATAAATTGTCATCGTTTTTCCTGGATTATTATACATCCATGCAGTCTGTGCTCTGTTCACGTAGTTTTTAAAAGGGCCGTAGACTCCTACATACATAGGTTGAAAATTGTGGGAGCAATGGGAGGAAAACTATAACATGATAACTTTGTTTTCTTTGGCTTTTTCGACAACTGAGCTGACACTACTCACAACTGAGAGACAACATTCACATGTGAGCCATGATTATCGAGCAGTAACAGAACTGGCTCTTTCTTGGTAGGTTTCGCGTGTTTGATAAAGTTATCTACAAAAATCAAAAATTCTTTATCAGTCATCCTCCACCCTGAAGAATTGCCAGCTCCAATGCAATCTTCAGGTCCACCGCGAATGAACATTTCTGAGTATTTAAGCCGGGGAAAACTGAACATCGGCCGTCAGTAACTTACAGCAATCTGGGGGCAAATTGTAACATGTTACAACAAACCCCGAGGTTTTGTTACAACTAGCCCCTTGATATAGTTCTTAATATTTATCACGATAAATATTAAATTAACTTAGTAATCTTGAAAACTGTTATACAACATCATAAATAGTTATATTTTAGCATAAAATAAAATACATAAAACTTCAAAGTTACGAAAATAGTAAAACTAACCAAAAATTTACGTTAGTAAAATTATAGGTTTCCTGTCAACAATTAAGCGTTTGCACACACCCACTCACTGAGCCGCCTGGCAGGACCCTGGCTGTGGTAAAGTGGCGTGGCACGTTATAAGTTGAAGATTAGGTAAAAAAAAACGTGAATAAAATTCAAATTCCTATTGAAAAAGGTCTGTTACTATTTACCCCTGTAACAACAAGCCCCGCGCTCCCCTATCTATTAAGCGCCGGCAAATAAAAATTATCTAAGACACGGATCCAGTCTGATACCCATACTGGGTTGCAACATCATTATTATTAGCATATTTGATTTAACAATATTTTAACTTTAATAGCGGATGAGCCCCTCCAAGGTCCCGGTATACGCAAAGGTGGAGACGTTTGGGCGCTAGTGATAAAATCAGCGAAGTCCTCCGACGCGGGTCTGTACACGTGTGAACTGAACACACAGCCTCCTGTGAGAAGTTTCCACAGACTTTCAGGTAATGTCAAACTTTATATTTATGGCTATGAAGTTTTTGTTGTATATGTTACTAGCGGACCCGACAGACGTCCTGCATGATATTAACAAGCGATTAGGATATTAAACAAAGTATGAAAGTACTGACTGCAGCGCCATCTGCCGGGCTCATTTGTGAATCTAAACAATCCAGGGCTCCACCCAAACACATACAAAAAAATCATTCAAATCTGTCCAGCCGTTTAAGATGAGTTCAGTAACATACACACGTACAGTAGAATTATATATATATTTCAATTTCAGTTATTTCACGAGGCCTCACTCCTCCCGAAGCTCAAAACACAACTGACCAATACTCAGCAAACAATCCAACTCTCTCGACAGTGGCTTTAGCCCACAACTACACAGATTGTTGCGTCAACGCGAATGTATCCCGGGGATGTCTAGGATTCTGCAGCATCCAGACGATTCTAGAAGGAACCGGACAGGATCCGGAAACCTGTCAACCTGACTTCCCATCTATTGTCAAGTGAGAATTATAAATGATATTACATTATAATATCTTAGTGTGTTTGTCGATTAAATAATAAGCATGAACTGTGCTTAGAAAGATTGGTAAAACGAAGTATTATTTTTTCATACGTATTTGAAATTATTGTATATCAGAAAAAAATTACAAAACTTTCATTTATTATCAATTCCCAAATCAAGATCGTACACAGGAAAACTGAAACCTTTGAAAATTTAAATCGCCAGATATTTTGTTTTAAAAGGAGGTAGAGGCCTTGCTCCACGTACAAAAATCTTACCTATTTTATGATTTTTGCACCATCGTCTACAAGTTAAAGTTGTGTTTACTTAAATGCCTATACTGGGCGTAACACATAAATACATTTATTATTTTTAGATGTATGGCAGATGGTAGAAATCACGTACCATGCTGTATCCAGGAGAAGGTACCAGATATCTGCCAGGACGTGTGTCGTGGAGAGTTCACGCCTGTTACCGATAATATTAAAACGCACTACTCTTGCGCATCCTATATGGAGAGGACTCTTGCTTGTATTGTAGAAGGCATTGGTAAGGTTTTATTAAAATAGTCTACGAATTCGTCAGGTCTCTTTCATATTTTAATGTATTTAAATGTACAACATTTGGTTTCCCAGAACTCCTCCCAAGCCCACCAGAAGACGTCGAAGTTGAGCCGATAAGCGAGAAGCAGCTGAACGTCTCCTGGAGTCCACCAACAGAGAACACAGACACGGTCACAGAATATGTTGTCAATGTTACGACATTAAGATCATTTGATGCCCACTTAATAGACCCCTCAGAGAGCTCAATGCAAAATAATACAATGAAAATGGGGACATTCACGATCATCAAAGTGTCTAAAGAGAAGAACTTTTTAGCGTTAAACGATTTGCTGCCCTTTACAATGTATGAAATAACAGTAACGTCGTATAATATCCATGGATCGAGTCTGCCAAGTTATAGTGTGAGGTAAGAATAAAAATAGGTATGAAAAAGTATAGCAAGCAGTGTTGGCCTAGTGGATTCGGCGTGTGACTCTCAAAAGTCAAAAGCCAAAATCATTTATTCATATAGGTAACACAATGTTCTCTTATGTACGTCAAAAAATATATACATGAAATGGTTCTAATTTTACATTTACTGCCAGTTCTCAAATCAAGGGCGTAGAACGGAAGAGAAGAACTGGCAATAAAATCTCCGCCACTCTTTTTAATTCATTTCTCATCACTGAGGTCGTAGGTTCGATCCTCGACTGTGCATCAATGGACTTTTTGTCTATGTGCGCATTTAACATTCGCTCGAACGGTGAAGGAAAACATCGTAAGGCTTGCCTTAGACCCAAAAAGTCGGCGGCGTGTGTCAGGTACAGACTGATCACCTACTTGCGTATTATATGGACAAATGATCATGAAACAGATACAGAAATCTGAGGTCTGGACCTAAAAAGGCTTGCCTTAGACCCAAAAAGTTGGCGGCGTGTGTCAGGTACAGACTGATCACCGACTTGCGTATTATATGGACAAATGATCATGAAACAGATACAGAAATCTGAGGCCCAGACCTAAAAAAGGTTGTAGCGCCACTGATTTATTTATTTTCATGAAAAAGTATAGAGGCCGGTAACCCAATTGGCTGCAAGCCAATGTTACACGTGTGTCAACACTTCTATATGTTCGTTCTGGCCTGTTGATTTTTTATTGAGCAGAAAAAATCGTTTGCTTGTAAATTGCTTATATATAAATATAGTAATTGAAGCCATGGAGAATGATAATAATATATAACCTGTTTTACCTTATTAATAAATTTAAATGGATGTAGATTTTCCTTTAATTTGCGTCGCAGATTTTTTTTCTCAAGTAATAAACATATTCAATCGTACATTTCGTTTTCAAGGTCTTTAACTCTAACACCTGGCAAAATGAAGCCAACAGCAGTAGCAGCAGCTCCGAAACTTCCAGACGTTAAAAGCTGTTGTCTCGCAGCCGGAATGAACCATTATGGATGCGTTGACAAACTCTGCGACCCCACCAAAACCTTTGAGATAGGTGTAAGTTTATAAATCTATTTGACCTGGTGTGAAGATTGACTAATGAAAAGTTATTTCCAAAAAAAAAACACAGTTTTTATCAGATTTTCTATTGTTAAAAATAAATTCTAACATCCCAACTCAGAGTCGTTTATTACGAATTATTAACAACTATCGTTTTCTATCGAGAAATTAAGAATGTGTTACAATTATTTCAATAATTTGGTAATTTATTAGCAGAGTTGTGCTGTTATGGGTTATAAATTATAATTAGTAAATCTTTCATTATAATTATTTCTACACCAGGTAAAATATATTTTAGAATATTGTATTTGAGTGTACAGGAGGGAATATATATTTATGGGTATTGGGTACATTTATTCTTAGCAAACAAGTAATTACACTTTCAATAGTTGAAATAGTTATATTTTTATAGTCAAATGCTATTAAATTCGGTCATAATGTAAATGAAACATTCTCTAACATTTTTTAAAGGTCAATAAAAGTTTTCATGACTGTAATTTCGTCAATTGAACGACGTAAATGTTTTACTATCAATTATTATCATAGTAAAGTTCTATGCTTTTTATGGGCGGTTAACGAAAATGTGTTTATTTTTCTGTGGGTTAAATGTTGCTACATTACTATTTAAACAAATGCTTTTATGACAATGACAAATAAGTGGCGTGGGTTAATTTCTTTATATAAACTTTTAGTTAAGTTTAAAAACACATAAATAGTATTTACATAGTAATAATAATAATAATTAAACATGAGAAGAGAATGTTTAGGAAAATAAAATATCTTTAAAAAGTTTGAGCCTAAAAAACATGTCGAAAATTATTTCCCTGTAATGAAGGCATATCGACTCTAAAAAACCGTAAGATGTTAATTACATACGTGTTTTATTCTTTTAACTTCTTATATGTGTTAATTATTTTTTAAACACTTTATAAGACTACTTAATACATTAATTTATTTTATTTATTAAAGTAAAATAAGTCTCTTTATTAATACATTAAAAACTTAACTGTTATTTAATAAACAATTTTTATAAGAGACAATACAATGAGAATAAATCTTACTAAGAATTCAATTTAATTAATAATGAAAATTTACTAAATAATTTATATTTCGTACATAAACGGTATCGTAAATTTTCGTTTCATTTGAGTTAAACTCAACAACGAAAATCGTTTTAAAATTTTAATTCTTGCTTCCGGAAGGGACTGCCGTGGACAGCTGGATAATGTTTTATTTTTAAATTGGCTGCAATTTGACGGTTACGTGTTTTATTAATTAATAGAGCGAATCGTAGCACTATTTTTGTTGATAAAATATCTATTAGTCTTTAACACAGCCTGAAAGCGTATTGTTTATTTAAAAAAAGTTTTAAATGTATAATTCACTATTAAGTATTATGGGTAGCTACATTATAAACTTCTTTAAAATAATATTATATTAATAATAATAATTTATTTATTCCAAGAATATGGTACAAAAATGTGTAAGGTGGTACAACCATACATATTCTGCCACACACAATAGCGCAAATTTGTCTTAAGGACTTTTACATTATTAGTCAAAGTCAATTCTTATATTATTTGTATCGTACATATCATATCATACTTTATTAAATTAAAATCAACACTGTCTCACGTAAATAATCATTTATTGAAGAGTACATTTTTTCCAAAAGTAATACATCAAGTAGCTTTTTAAAAACTCTAGTCGGAAGATCTTTTCTCTTTATTATTCGAATAGTGTAGGCATATTGGCTGTGGGTAGTAGCGCTATTACTTTATAATTATAAAGACTTTCTTCAATTAATAACTAAACTTTTTAGTTTGTTAATAAGACCGTTCATAAGTTTATTTAATTTAAACAAATTTTTAAAACAGTAAAAAAAAATTGACTTATATTTGATATTTAGTACACCACATCTGTGTTATATGTTTGTGTTAACATCACCTATCATCACCGCACATCATTTGTGGCTAACGCACTCATCACCAGCAGAGCTCTTCTAATCATCAGTTACAGGTGACAGATTTGATGATCTGTGCCCCATGGGCTGGAGTCACTTTCGGGTGTCTCGCGAATGGCATGGACCACACACCCTGCTGCCGGTCTCGGGGTCTACCCGAATCCTGTCTCGCCTTGTGTAGTGGAAATATTACTAATCTGGATTTTAACCACTTTAAGTAAGTTTTTTTTATTTAATAAAACACTATTTTGACCGGATTGAAGTTATGTATTATTATAAATTTACAACTATTTAACATAATTTTAAATTTATCCGACGTTTCGCGTGCTTTACAGCGTGCGTGGTCACGGTGACCACGCACGTCAAAATAGTGTTTTATTAAATGAATAAAAGTTATGTTAATCAAAGACAATACTAAGTTTTTTTTAAATCTAAAGTTTGCTTAGAAAGCTCAATAACTATTTATTTATACGTACTTTTAATTGATATTACAGTAATTTAAATTATACTAGTGGACCCCACAGACGTTGTCCTGCATGATATTTAAAGCGATTAGGATATTAAGCAAAGTATGAAAGTACCGACTGCAGTGCCATCTGCCGGGCTGATTTGTGAATCTAAACCATTCCCAGATCCCCTTGAACACACACAAAAAATTTCATCAAAATCGGTCCAGTCGTTTGAGAGGAGTTCAGTCACATACACACGCACAGAAGAAATATATATATTAAGATTATTTGTATCTCTTGTACCAACAAAAATACATTGAAACTACTAGTAAGGATTTTCGAACTTTACGGATCACGTTTATCAATTCCGTTATAATAATAATTTATTGCAAGAATATGGTACAAAAATGTGTAAGGTGGTACAATCGTAAGTTCGCATATTCTGCCATACACAATGGCGCGCAAATTTGTCTCTAAAGGAATATTACATTATTAGTCAAATGAATTGGTCAGTTCTTATATTATTTGTACTATACATCTCATATCATACTTTATTAAATTTATATCAACTACAGTGTCTCACGCAACACATGTATTATACGATTACAATGATAAATTCATGAATTGAGTCGAATTAAATACACATAATATTAACATTGGCAAGGAATAAGCACCAAATATAACCGAATTTCTTCAGATGTCTTCGCTTCATGTCTGGCTACACCAACTGCCTCCTGCAAGGCTACGGGGTCCTCCCAGGCCCCCCAACCAAACTGCACCTTACAAACATCGACACTGATTACGCAGTTGTTCATTGGTCTGCGCCCGCGGCGTTGGCGGATACTGTACAGTTTTATAACATACACTTCAAAGCTTTACAACTGGAAGACGATTATAGGACGATAGATGCGGTAAGATTTGCAGTTTTTATCGATTTCATTAGTAGAGAAGACTTAATAAACGACTATGTATCATTTACGTTCATTCATTGTATAATTAATTGTACGATGAAGTTGTACGATAATGTCGTACGATGATGTCGTACGATGATGTCGTACCATGATGTCGTACGATGATGTCGTACGATAATGTCGTACAATGATGTCGTACGATGATGTCGTACGATGATGTCGTACGATGATGTCGTACAATGATGTCGTACAATGATGTCGTACGATGATGTCGTACAATGATGTCGTACGATGATGTCGTACAATGATGTCGTACAATGATGTCGTACAATGATGTCGTACCCTGAATCACGCTGACAAAGTGTCACACCTTCTTCAACTTTCACTGAGCAACTACAACTTCTAGACATTACCCAAATGGGGCCTTCTGGTTATCTAGTCGGTTTAAGCTTGTCGAGGACTCCCCCTTTAGGAAGAGCACACCTTCCTCCACGAACTACATTACTCATAATATTAGTAAATTATAATTAATGTAATTTTATAGATGTGTTGTTTCAATTTACTTGTAACCAAAAATACATCTTTTCACCTTTTATTGGGTTTGCTGATAAGTTTTTTTTATCGTATTAAATTTAATTATTTAATATTACGTTACCATTGTTATAGTACAATTTATCTTTAGCTTCAACATAGTCTTCAGTTTCGGCAATTAGTGCGAACAACTAGAATTACGTGAACTTATAATTTTATATGTTTGTAGGTCCAGTCACCTTACATTTTGGAAGATTTGGAATCAAACACAGATTATGAGATTTATGTCGAAGCTGTCAACGAACACGGATTGGGTGAAGCATCGCCAAGGCTGATATTTAGGACTCAGAGTATTGTGAGTATTATTGAATATGCTTTCATGGATTGGATTTTGGACATTGGTCCAATTTCATACACAGATAAAATAATATTACCAAATATAGCTACTTAAGTATTTGAACTTGATTCTAAGTAAGCTCGTATATAAAATCCAAAAAAATTGATACTGTCACCGTTTGGGGATACAATTGATAACGACAGGTAGCGCTGACAGTAAGAAGACTAAAAAAAACTTGTTAGTTTTTTTGCCAATTGACTCAATTTAGTGATAACATTTTAAGTAATTAAGGTTCATTAAGATGCAACCCGTTTGAAAACCTCAAGGACCTTATTTTGAAGTCGTATTTTACGCAAATTAAGCGCAAGTCACGTTTGATTACTTAGAATGTAAATGTTTTGAAAAAAAGACCAAATTACTCCCTGGTTATCTGTCATTTAATCGATTTTTTGCGATTTATCTCGGATCAATATGCTCTATACCAGTGTTTCCCAACGTTAAGGGGGCTATTCGAAATTTTCTTATAATTATTTGGAATTTGAATTTCAGTTTTTTTTTTATATTTTAATCTATGTACAGGCTATAGAAGAAGAAGTGGAAGTAGCAAACGCGTACAATGTGACACAGTGCTGCGCGAAAGTCCAAGTAGCTTCTGTCTGCATGTCTCTCTGTTCATACGATGCCAAGATGTCCGATTTGAGGAAGCTTGCACCGCTCTGTGCGCAGGAGTTCCACAAATTACTTCGCTGTGGTGCCGGAGGTGTGTTTTCACTTAAATATAATACATACGGTTGATATGATCCCTATCCATATAGCTTTGAGAACTTACACGACTCGAAAATAATCAAGTAAAACTCTTGGTCTTTGCCCCACATTTTCGGGTTTGTTTCCTTGATAATTTTTACCAAATGAGAAAGTTGTTGCGTATATAGAATGAAATTAACAGCACGGCCGAGTTTTGACCGCATAACCGTTTGATTGAGTAGCACAACAAACCACTCACACTAAAAGTATGTTTTTACACCAACACTATGATTATATTCCTTGAAATTGGTGTTAGCGCTAAAGCAAATATTTTCTAGGTCGGAATCACGAAGCGTGTTGTGCACGACGCGGTGTGCCGCCATCTTGTCGTGGCGTCTGCGCAGGTGCATATCGTGGTGGCGTCAACACCTGCGTCTCATATATTGGAAATATTGTGCAATGCTTTGAAGAAGGTACACTTTTGAAATTATCTATATGAAATATCATAACTAACTAAATACCTCTTTATAAAAATTAATAGACATGGAAAATAATGTTGCATTCTTAATTAAATAAAACAAAATGTTTGTTTTCATAAGACCATTGTATTTAAGCTCTTTACTTTAAGAAGCTTTCCTAGTATTGACGTGAGTCAATATTTGATTTACCTTATTTTTAGGTTTGATAAAACTCCCATTAAATCTAAATAATGAGAAAACATATACAGATGTGTCGAACATAGCATTTTATATCGGTTAATATTATCACCAGGAACTGGTAATCTACCCGGCCCGCCCAGGGAACTCCATGCGGTGGTTTCCCATGACAAACTCTTCCTGGACTGGACACCACCACAAGACGGAGCCAATGCGACCTACTACGTGGTACATTGGCAGAAAGTTGACAACAATTCGCAACCCTACTACTTCAATACACTGCAATTGGACAGTGTATGCATAAAAAATATTTTATTAGTTACTTTTTACAATTAAGTAAACGTTAGATTTTGGGTTAAAGATTTTCAACTAGCTTATAACTTCCGCAACGGCGGAAAATATTTACGTTGAATATATAATAGGTACCGTGTAAGTGTGAGCGTAGAAAAAAAACCAGTGATGCTACAGCGTGCGACTCTCAATTCTGGCACAGGATATAGAGTCTCACGCTTAGTGCGTTTAGATACTTAAATGATCCTAATCCTTGGGATTGATTTGCTCCAGTTCAAACAATTTGTATGACAATACTTGGCGATTAAAAAGAGTGGCGGAAAGTTTCTTGCCAGTTCTTCTTACCCGCTCTACGCCCTTGACTTGCGAACTGGTAGTAAATGTAAATTTACAATTAATTTAACTTGACAATTCATAAGTGTAATTGTTTAGCTACATGAATAAAGACATTTTAAGTTTTGAGTTTTTATAATAATATTAGTATAGATAGATAGTATTAATGTAACCTAAGCCATGAACTAGATAGGAGAGTTGAGTCAGAACTTCCACATATTAAAAACGTGATTGGTTCTTAGAAGTATGGCGCAATATGGCGTGAATTTTACGTTAGACCTTTATTGCAACCGACAAAGATCGGGCAATTGAAACTAGATGGACAGAGTCTTCACAATGGAAATATAAGCTGGATTTTTCGAATGTAACTTTTCCTTTTGTTACGTTCGTACGACTATTGTTTCGCTTGCTATTGAATCTACTTTTAATTTTAGAATGACAATCGGATGAGCTAGAATTTTGTTTTAGATAAAGCTTTTGTTACTGGCATATTTATTTATTTCGTAAAACTAACTTAAATTATATATAACAAAAATCAATTATACTAAAGACAAAGATGGAATACATAATATACACAAAAAGGTTCAACCAATTACAAAAAGGAAATAACAATAAAAAATATTCAATAAATTTAACTAAGTAATACCTAATCCGAGTGTGTTGTGTGATTGTGTGTAAGTGAGGGTATGTACGTGAGGGTGTGTATGTGGGGTATGCTCATGCTGCAGCATTAGCGCTATGGATATTCTTAATACTCCTTTAAAGCATGTTCCGAGACAGCTTGAACAGTGGTCGTTGTATGTCCGGGCAACGCGAAACATAACAATGTGTGGTTATTTTGTTTAAAACATAAAATATATATGTTATTTGTTATTATTGAAAATAAACGTATACGTATATGATAAACACGATGACAGATGGTTTATAAAAGATTGGCCTGATAAGAATTTTAAAAGAAATTAATTTATTGTATTCATTTTTTAGCAAATGCAAGTTAACGAAACAAAAGTACGTCTGGAAGGTCTGGAAGTAAACTCCACTTATCATTTGTTCGTGGTAGCAGCCAACGAGTATGGAACATCATTACCATCTAGTATGCTGTTGTTGAACATCACTGAAGGTATAATAATAATAATTATTATCATCGTCATATAAACTTCTTTATTTTTTCTACCATATACCATTTGAAACAAATAATACGATTACAGTACCTAAAGAAGGAATTGGGAGACTGGTTTCCAAGCTAGGTAAGATCCTGTGATATGGATAACCAGGCTTCCATTCCACAGCAAAGTCATACTGAGTCATAACAAAAAGTACATACACGAAAACAAATTTAAAGTTTAAAAGAAAAAAAAAAACAAAACAGTTAACTAGATTACTACAGAAATAAAGTCAACTGACAAAAAAAAGAAGTGAAAAAGATTTGTGCATCCTTCACTGTAGAGGCTCCTAAGACATGAGGCAGACACATTGCTGCACTTCTTATGTCAGTGATTAACATCTGAACGACCAGAATATCAAGGACAGGTCGCTTATCCGGGGCATGGATGATAAACCACCAATTTCCTAGGCCTATTTCTAAACTAAACTATCCTTTATTTCCCACAAAAAACTTACATACATAGTGCACAAAATTAAGCAAGAGTTATTTAGAAGGAAATGCTTGTTTGTGTGGGACTGATACCTTTTAAAGGAGAGTAACTGTGTACACAGTCATCAGGCCTTTATCTCTGATTTTTATATTTCCACAATATAATTTTCAATTTCGAGCAAGAACTCTGGCATGGTGGTATCACTTAACATCATGTGAGCAGCCTACCCGTTTGCTCCCTGAAAAATTATTAAAAATTAAACTATGCAGAAAACCAAGTAGTATATTTAATTCTCTTGTACAGATGTTGTGAATAAGGAGGTGACCGGAATTCCATCTCCACCTCACTCTCTCTCCGTGTCTTCTCATTCAGCAACCTGGCTCACATTGAGCTGGCAGCCACCACTCTTCTCGCAACCTGATGAGAAAATAACTTACACGTAAGTATCTGTTAAACGCGGAATAATGGGTTCTTTCAGGATTTTGATGCATCATATTGAGACTAACTTTATATTAGAGCAATAATGTTTTTTTAGGTTTCACCAACAGTTTTTAGTACTATTGCTTACTTAGTACTTGTTTACTTGTTTTTAGTACTGCTACTAAGTTTATATTTTTTACTAGTTTAGTACTGTTACTTAATTAGTACTTTTTACTTGTTTTCAGTACTATTACTTAATGAGTAGGGTACTTTTTACAAATTTTTAGTACTGTTACTTAATGAGTACTTTTTTCTTGTTTTTAGTACTGTTACTTAATGAGTACTTTTTTTTCTTTTTTAGTACTGTTACTTAATGAGATATTTTTTTTTTTTTGTACTTTTTTCTTGTTTTTAGTACTGTTACTTAATGAGTCTTTTTGTTTGTTTTTTTTTTTTTTTTCTTTTTCTTATTTTTTACTAGTTTTTTAATTCCACATTACCTTATTACATTCTTTTTTTTTTTCCTCCTTTAGTACTTTTACTCAAATAACAGTTAAAAAGTTTGTACAATAAATATACACTTTGAAAACTTTTTTTTACAAAATTGGTTAAAAGAAAACGCCATAACCAAGTTAGAGTTAAAGTAATTAAACAATTTTTCACATTTTATTAACATCGTTAAATTCTTCGCCGAGTTTATACATTCATAAAACATTTTTCGCTCTTGTAATATCAGTTTTAACGGTTGAAGGTGTCTTAAATTTTTTATTGAATGGAATTAAAAAAGTTATTTTCGTTTTAAAATCTTAAATACCTTTTCTACTTTTATACATTTTATTAGTTGTTAAATATTATTTTGATTATAATAAATAATTTAAGAAAGGGATTTTAATTTAATTGCAGAATGTTTTCTTAAGTAATTATTTAGAATCAGTGACTCAGTGATATGATTCCCGAATGTTAAATGTCATTTTTGTCTCACAAAGCTGTTTTTTTGTCACAAGTTTGTCTTAACCTGGGTTAGTTTATCGAAAAATCATGACAAAATATTATTTTGAAATGATTGCATTAGACTTCATATGTAAAACGTCGAAAATTATACTAAATTCATACGGTATTTTCTTTCTCCAAATTTACTCAAAATAACGGATTCATACATACATTATGCGATGCACTTCTCAGGCACTTCTAGCCAAGATTCGGCATTGAGGCATGCATTACATACCTGTAATAACATTTGAACTAATTTAATTACAAACTTGGAAAACCCTGCGGTAGGTACTGATTAAAGTTGGTACAACTTTGATCAAATATTAACAGTCATCTCAGTTTCTCTTCATATCAAATTTGAGAAATATTAAATATTTCGATGTAAAATGTGTTAATTATATCTGGTACAGCCTATATAATTGTTAAAGCCAAGGTAAGGTGCCTTTATAGCATGGGAGAGTATTGACCATAAGTATTGACTTTTGACAGTTATTTATAAACATAACTCATGCCTATTATATTGCTGATTGTGCGGTTTTTTTATAATTAATCAATCTGAATGTACCACTTTCTTTGCAAATAAACGATTTATTATTATTACGTATTGGATCTGTGATGATCTTTCAATCTGGCAATCAGTACGAGGCAAGGAGTTCAGAAAATGAAACAGTAGTAATATAGAACGTGAGAAAAGAAAAGCAGTGTTGGCTTAGTGTATTTAATTTGCAACTCTCATTCCTGAAGTCGTAGGTTCGATCCCTGGCTGTGCACCAATGGACTTTTTTTCTATGTAAGCATTTAACACTCGCTCGTACGGTGAAGGAAACTTCGTGAGGAAACCAGCTTGCCTTAGACCCAAAAATTCGACGGCGTGTGTCAGGCACAGAAGGTTGATCGCCTATTAGAAATGATCACGGAACAGATAGAAACTGGTCTGAGGCCCAGACTTAAAAGGTTATACTGTCATTGATATAGATCGCCTGATTATGTCAGAGATTGGACTACAGCTGCTATTGAATCAAATAAATCTTTAGGGTCCCACTGCTGCTAGTTCTTCCTTTTTCATACAATACTTTTATTTCACCAGGCTTTTCTTCAAATCACCATCACAACTGGTGTACGGGCAACGTAACAATCATATCAACCACTGTTCCTGCGCATACGCTTGAGAAATTGACACCGAATACGCAGTATGTTGTCTGGGTGACGGCGCATGCTGTGGCCGGAAACTCGCTGCCTTCTGAGACTTTAATGGCCTGGACTGATCCAGCTTATCCAGCGTTTGTTGAGGTATGTACTTATAGATTAGCACAACCTAATTAGGGGGCTAAAAGACCAGGAGCCCGGATTTATTCATAAAATCCATAGACACTATCCATATAGACTACGCATTTATTTAATTTTGGATATTACTTTCATAAAAATATCTTTAATTTTCCAACACAAAATAAAAGAATGAAAGTCTTTTGCGACATCGTAATACTTATAAAATTGTTTGGGGAATTAAATAAGCTTTCGCGGCCATTTCCATTGAGATCGTCAGAAATCAATACATAATTTATGCCTCGTGGTGTTCACAAATTGGACAAAGTTGATTTGATTTAAATTAAATAAAAATAAATCAGTGGCGCTACAACCTTTTTAGGTCTAGGCCTAAGATTTCTGTATTTGTTTCATGATATGTCAATCTCATAGGCAAGTAAGTGATAAGCCTCCTGTGCCTGACACACACCGTCAAGTTTTTGTGGTCTAAGGGAGGCCGGTTTCATCACGATGTTTACACCGTTCAAGCGAATGTTAAATGCGTACAAAGAAAGTCCATTGGTGCACAGGCAGGGATCGAACCTACGTGAGCAAAAACTCACGTTAACTGACAGAATAAGCTTATTTATAATATAATAATTCTGTATAATTTCTACAATCTAGAAAATTAAGCCAATTTAAGCTTAATATAAAGCTCATTAATATACGCGGTAAGTAATAACGAGGGTTTTAATGAAATAATTGTTCATTGGCGCGTGTCAGTGGTTTTAAGATATTAACTTAATGTAATAATTAATGAACTAGATAGACGCTCGAATGGCTCAAGTTATTAAAGCTGTATACTTATTTTATATCTAATAATCGTGATATATCAACGGCAACTATAACCAATCAAATTTCTATTTGGATAGAACATGAACTTAAAACTAACAAAACCTTGGTTTCTTGATATAACTTATCATATCTTAACACTGGACGTACATTATTATTTGGTTTAATTTAATATTTCTTGCCGGTGTTTTTGTTTAAATTTGTAGTTCATTTTTGGCTTTTATATATTATGGAATTGACATAATAGTAATTGGCAATACTGAAAATCAAAAGATTTTTTGTATTTATTTATATATTTTATATTTATTTATATTATATAAATAAATGTAAAAATCAATCAATTATTAATTAATTTGTTATCGATAAATACTATTCCATTCTGACATTAACGCCGTAAACGGTCGAGAAGAATTGCAAGAAACTCCAATATATTGAGGCAATAAAGCAGTAATAATGTATTAAAAGCCTCAAATAGTGACTTTGTCCTCATCCTACCACTTTGTATGAACATATATTATTTAAGTTATTCAAGCTAGCCTAAGCTCTGAAGACTTTAGACACTTTTAAAGACGGTTAATATGTATAATAGATAAAATAACTTATAACTATCGACTTCTAATATTTAAAAAAATTGAATTTTTATATAAAAGAGACAAAAATGCAGAAATGTGTATGTTTAAGCATGGGTTCAGAGTTAAGATTTCGTGTGAACTTATGTCACATGCCATAACTTTATGACACGCGATATAACAGTGATGATGAGCGCTACTTGTTCGTTTTGAGCAGTATTTGGCCTTAGTAGCTTCAGCGTGCGACTCTACATCCTTGAGATCATAGGTTCGATCCCGGCTGTGCACCAATTGACTCTCTTTCTATATGCGCATTTAACATTCACTTGAACGGTGAAAACATTCTGAGGAATCCGACTTCCTTTAGATCAAAAAGCGGCGTGTGTCAGGCACAGGAGGCTGATCACCTACTTGCCTATTAGATTGAAATATCTTGAAACAGAAATCTGAGACCCAGAGCTAGAAAGTATGTAGCACAACTGATATTCTTATTCATAATATTAATTATCTCTTATCGTTGAAAGTTGATTGCCTTAGTACTTAACTGAGTTAAGGGGCAGGATCCGTTTAAGCTTCAATTGGATTTATAAACTTAATGAAAACTCTAAACACCTTTCGTTTGGCAATTAAGGTTTACATTAATTTACCAAAAAGAATTAAAAGATCTTCCGACTAGTTTTTAAAAATCGACTTGGTGTATGTCTTTTAGAAAAAATGTATTATTCAATAAATTATTATTTGCGTGCGACACTGTAGTTGATAAAAGCTTAATAAAGTATGATATGAGATGTATGACACAAATAATATAAGAACTGACCAATTCATATGACTAATAATATAAAATTCCTTTAGACAAATTTGCGCATTGTGTGTGGCAGAACATGCGAACTTACGATGGTACTTACCTTAACATTTTTGTACCATATTCTTGCAATAAAATTATTATTAAAATGACGGGTGGTTATAAGCTGTCAGAGGCTAAACTTTTGTAATGTTCACTTGTTTTACAGCCACCAGCAATCAACCCCGTAAATCTAGTGGTGGAAGGCTCCAGCATGACCATTCTGTGTATTGCCATGGGGACACCGACGCCTACCATATCATTATACATATCAGGTAATTTCAAACTACGTCACGTTAAACAATCATAATAAGCATAATAATCAAATTCTGAGATAGTGTTCAGAGGACTTGTTCGGATATACCTGCAGTTGAGTTTCATTATCTTACGGGGCAGAATACGAAATTCACCCGTATCACCTCGACGTCTCTTCCAAAACTGAGGAGTTTTTAAAGGAGTTTAGGCCACGCACCATCACTATATGGAACCAGCCGCCCACTGAAGTATTTCCATATTCGACTTTAAAAAGAAAAAAGGCCGACAACGTACTCGCGAGCCTCTGATATTGAGAGTGTCCATCACTACTATCACTTAACATCAGATGAGGCCCTGTTCTATAAAAAATAAAAATGCAAATAAAAAAATTACGTAACATTTTATTGCGACAAAGCTAGACGTTCGTCTAAGCTATCGTTAACTGTTTCGTGAACATTTTAGGACCTCTCAAAGCTTCTAATTAACGCGATTCTAATTAAAACCTTTATATATTTAACTATATTTCGTGACAATGAAATTGTAATTTATCTTAAAAGCGATTTCTCTGTTAAGACTTAAGAGCTATTTGTGTTGCGCAATTTCTGTAGTGTATTGTAAAATTATACTAAAAGGGAAAATTTAAAACAAAATATGAATCGCAGAAATTTATGATAAATTAATTAAAACTAAAACTATGGCCTCACATAGTAGATATTGTTTTCATAAGACCATTGTATTTAAGCTCTTTACTTTAAGAAGCTTCCTAGTATTGACGTGAGTCAATATTTGTTTTACCTTATTTTTAGGTTTGATAAAACTCCCATTAAATCTAAATAATGAGAAAACATATACAGATGTGTCGAACATAGCATTTTATATCGGTTAATATTATCACCAGGAACTGGTAATCTACCCGGCCCGCCCAGGGAACTCCATGCGGTGGTTTCCCATGACAAACTCTTCCTGGACTGGACACCACCACAAGACGGAGCCAATGCGACCTACTACGTGGTACATTGGCAGAAAGTTGACAACAATTCGCAACCCTACTACTTCAATACACTGCAATTGGACAGTGTATGCATAAAAATATTTTATTAGTTACTTTTTACAATTAAGTAAACGTTAGATTTTTGGTTAAAGATTTTCAACTAGCTTATAACTCCCGCAACGGCGGGAAAATATTTACGTTGAATATATAATAGGTACCGTGTAAGTGTGAGCGTAGAAAAAAAACCAGTGATGCTACAGCGTGCGACTCTCAATTCTGGCACAGGATATAGAGTCTCACGCTTAGTGCGTTTAGATACTTAAATGATCCTAATCCTTGGGATTGATTTGCTCCAGTTCAAACAATTTGTATGACAATACTTGGCGATTAAAAAGAGTGGCGGAAAGTTTCTTGCCAGTTCTTCTTACCCGCTCTACGCCCTTGACTTGCGAACTGGTAGTAAATGTAAATTTACAATTAATTTAACTTGACAATTCATAAGTGTAATTGTTTAGCTACATGAATAAAGACATTTTAAGTTTTGAGTTTTTATAATAATATTAGTATAGATAGATAGTATTAATGTAACCTAAGCCATGAACTAGATAGGAGAGTTAAGTCAGAACTTCCACATATTAAAAACGTGATTGGTTCTTAGAAGTATGGCGCAATATGGCGTGAATTTTACGTTAGACCTTTATTGCAACCGACAAAGATCGGGCAATTGAAACTAGATGGACAGAGTCTTCACAATGGAAATATAAGCTGGATTTTTCGAATGTAACTTTTCCTTTTTGTTACGTTCGTACGACTATTGTTTCGCTTGCTATTGAATCTACTTTTAATTTTAGAATGACAATCGGATGAGCTAGAATTTTGTTTTAGATAAAGCTTTTGTTACTGGCATATTTATTTATTTCGTAAAACTAACTTAAATTATATATAACAAAAATCAATTATACTAAAGACAAAGATGGAATACATAATATACACAAAAAGGTTCAACCAATTACAAAAGGAAATAACAATAAAAAATATTCAATAAATTTAACTAAGTAATACCTAATCCGAGTGTGTTGTGTGATTGTGTGTAAGTGAGGGTATGTACGTGAGGGTGTGTATGTGGGGTATGCTCATGCTGCAGCATTAGCGCTATGGATATTCTTAATACTCCTTTAAAGCATGTTCCGAGACAGCTTGAACAGTGGTCGTTGTATGTCCGGGCAACGCGAAACATAACAATGTGTGGTTATTTTGTTTAAAACATAAAATATATATGTTATTTGTTATTATTGAAAATAAACGTATACGTATATGATAAACACGATGACAGATGGTTTATAAAAGATTGGCCTGATAAGAATTTTAAAAGAAATTAATTTATTGTATTCATTTTTTAGCAAATGCAAGTTAACGAAACAAAAGTACGTCTGGAAGGTCTGGAAGTAAACTCCACTTATCATTTGTTCGTGGTAGCAGCCAACGAGTATGGAACATCATTACCATCTAGTATGCTGTTGTTGAACATCACTGAAGGTATAATAATAATAATTATTATCATCGTCATATAAACTTCTTTATTTTTCTACCATATACCATTTGAAACAAATAATACGATTACAGTACCTAAAGAAGGAATTGGGAGACTGGTTTCCAAGCTAGGTAAGATCCTGTGATATGGATAACCAGGCTTCCATTCCACAGCAAAGTCATACTGAGTCATAACAAAAAGTACATACACGAAAACAAATTTAAAGTTTAAAAGAAAAAAAAAACAGAACAGTTAACTAGATTACTACAGAAATAAAGTCAACTGACAAAAAAAAGAAGTGAAAAAGATTTGTGCATCCTTCACTGTAGAGGCTCCTAAGACATGAGGCAGACACATTGCTGCACTTCTTATGTCAGTGATTAACATCTGAACGACCAGAATATCAAGGACAGGTCGCTTATCCGGGGCATGGATGATAAACCACCAATTTCCTAGGCCTATTTCTAAACTAAACTATCTTTATTTCCCACAAAAACTTACATACATAGTGCACAAAATTAAGCAAGAGTTATTTAGAAGGAAATGCTTGTTTGTGTGGGACTGATACCTTTTAAAGGAGAGTAACTGTGTACACAGTCATCAGGCCTTTATCTCTGATTTTTATATTTCCACAATATAATTTTCAATTTCGAGCAAGAACTCTGGCATGGTGGTATCACTTAACATCATGTGAGCAGCCTACCCGTTTGCTCCCTGAAAAATTATTAAAAATTAAACTATGCAGAAAACCAAGTAGTATATTTAATTCTCTTGTACAGATGTTGTGAATAAGGAGGTGACCGGAATTCCATCTCCACCTCACTCTCTCTCCGTGTCTTCTCATTCAGCAACCTGGCTCACATTGAGCTGGCAGCCACCACTCTTCTCGCAACCTGATGAGAAAATAACTTACACGTAAGTATCTGTTAAACGCGGAATAATGGGTTCTTTCAGGATTTTGATCTATGCATCATATTGAGACTAACTTTATATTAGAGCAATAATGTTTTTTTAGGTTTCACCAACAGTTTTTAGTACTATTGCTTACTTAGTACTTGTTTACTTGTTTTTAGTACTGCTACTAAGTTTATATTTTTTACTAGTTTAGTACTGTTACTTAATTAGTACTTTTTACTTGTTTTCAGTACTATTACTTAATGAGTAGGTACTTTTTTACAAATTTTTAGTACTGTTACTTAATGAGTACTTTTTTCTTGTTTTTAGTACTGTTACTTAATGAGTACTTTTTTCTTGTTTTTAGTACTGTTACTTAATGAGTACTTTTTTCTTGTTTTTAGTACTGTTACTTAATGAGTTATTTTTTACTAGTTTTTAGTACTACATATTACTTAATGAGTACTTTTTTCTTGTTTTTAGTACTGTTACTTAATGAGTACTTTTTTACTAGATTTTAGTACTGTTACTTAATGAGTACTTTTTTCTTGTTTTTAGTACTGTTACTTAATGAGTTATTTTTTACTAGTTTTTAGTACTACATATTACTTAATGACTACTTTTTTTACTACTCTTTAGTACTTTTACTCAAATAACAGTTAAATCAAGTTTGTACAATAAATATACACTTTGAAACTCTTTTTTTACAAAATTGGTTAAAAGAAAACGCCATAACCAAGTTAGAGTTAAAGTAATTAAACAATTTTTCACATTTTATTAACATCGTTAAATTCTTCGCCGAGTTTATACATTCATAAAACATTTTTCGCTCTTGTAATATCAGTTTTAACGGTTGAAGGTGTCTTAAATTTTTTATTGAATGGAATTAAAAAAGTTATTTTCGTTTTAAAATCTTAAATACCTTTTCTACTTTTATACATTTTATTAGTTGTTAAATATTATTTTGATTAAAATAAATAATTTAAGAAAGGGATTTTAATTTAATTGCAGAATGTTTTTCTTAAGTAATTATTTAGAATCAGTGACTCAGTGATATGATTCCCGAATGTTAAATGTCATTTTTGTCTCACAAAGCTGTTTTTTTTGTCACAAGTTTGTCTTAACCTGGGTTAGTTTATCGAAAAATCATGACAAAATATTATTTTGAAATGATTGCATTAGACTTCATTTGTAAAACGTCGAAAATTATACTAAATTCATACGGTATTTTCTTTCTCCAAATTTACTCAAAATAACGGATTCATACATACATTATGCGATGCACTTCTCAGGCACTTCTAGCCAAGATTCGGCATTGAGGCATGCATTACATACCTGTAATAACATTTGAACTAATTTAATTACAAACTTGGAAAACCCTGCGGTAGGTACTGATTAAAGTTGGTACAACTTTGATCAAATATTAACAGTCATCTCAGTTTCTCTTCATATCAAATTTGAGAAATATTAAATATTTCGATGTAAAATGTGTTAATTATATCTGGTACAGCCTATATAATTGTTAAAGCCAAGGTAAGGTGCCTTTATAGCATGGGAGAGTATTGACCATAAGTATTGACTTTTGACAGTTATTTATAAACATAACTCATGCCTATTATATTGCTGATTGTGCGGTTTTTTATAATTAATCAATCTGAATGTACCACTTTCTTTGCAAATAAACGATTTATTATTATTACGTATTGGATCTGTGATGATCTTTCAATCTGGCAATCAGTACGAGGCAAGGAGTTCAGAAAATGAAACAGTAGTAATATAGAACGTGAGAAAAAGAAAAGCAGTGTTGGCTTAGTGTATTTAATTTGCAACTCTCATTCCTGAAGTCGTAGGTTCGATCCCTGGCTGTGCACCAATGGACTTTTTTTCTATGTAAGCATTTAACACTCGCTCGTACGGTGAAGGAAACTTCGTGAGGAAACCAGCTTGCCTTAGACCCAAAAATTCGACGGCGTGTGTCAGGCACAGAAGGTTGATCGCCTATTAGAAATGATCACGGAACAGATAGAAACTGGTCTGAGGCCCAGACTTAAAAGGTTATACTGTCATTGATATAGATCGCCTGATTATGTCAGAGATTGGACTACAGCTGCTATTGAATCAAATAAATCTTTTAGGTCCCACTGCTTCGTAGTTCTTCCCCTTTTTCATACAATACTTTTTATTTCACCAGGCTTTTCTTCAAATCACCATCACAACTGGGTACGAGCAACGTAACAATCATATCAACCACTGTTCCTGCGCATACGCTTGAGAAATTGACACCGAATACGCAGTATGTTGTCTGGGTGACGGCGCATGCTGTGGCCGGAAACTCGCTGCCTTCTGAGACTTTACTGGCCTGGACTGATCCAGCTTATCCAGCGTTTGTTGAGGTATGTACTTATAGATTAGCACAACCTAATTCAGGGCTAAAAGACCAGGAGCCCGGATTTATTCATTAAAATCCATAGACACTATTCATATAGACTACGCATTTATTTAATTTTGGTTACTTTCATAAAAATATCTTTATTTTTCTAACACAAAATAAAGAATGAAAGTCTTTTGTGACATCGCAATACTTATAAAATTGTTTGGGAATTAAATAAGCTTTCGTGGCCATTTCCATTGAGAGCGTCAGAAATCAATACATAATTTATGCCTCGTGGTGTTCACAAATTAGACATTTTTTTGATTTACAAAAATGATTTAAATTAAATAAAAATAAATCAGTGGCGCTACAACCTTTTTAGGTCTAGGCCTAAGATTTCTGTATTTGTTTCATGATATGCCAATCTCATAGGCAAGTAAGTGATAAGCCTCCTGTGCCTGACACACACCGTCAAGTTTTTGGGTCTAAGGGAAGCCGGTTTCATCACGATGTTTACACCGTTCAAGCGAATGTTAAATGCGTACAAAGAAAGTCCATTGGTGCACAGCCAGGGATCGAACCTACTCACGTTAACTGACAGAATAATCCAATGATAAAGCTTATTTATAATACAATAATTCTGTATAATTTCTACAATCTAGAAAAATTAAGCCAATTTAAGCTTAATATAAAGCTCATTAATATACGCGGTAAGTAATAACGAGGGTTTTAATGAAATAATTGTTCATTGGCGCGTGTCAGTGGTTTTAAGATATTAACTTAATGTAATAATTAATGAACTAGATAGCGCTCGAATGGCTCAAGTTATTAAAGCTGTATACTTATTTTATATCTAATAATCGTGATATGTCAACGGCAACTATAACCAATCAAATTTCTATTTGGATAGAACATGAACTTAAAACTAACAAAACCTTGGTTTCTTGATATAACTTATCATATCTTAACACTGGACGTACATTATTATTTGGTTTTAATTTAATATTTCTTGCCGGTGTTTTTGTTTAAATTTGTAGTTCATTTTTGGCTTTTATATATTATGGAATTGACATAATAGTAATTGTGGCAATACTGAAAATCAAAAGATTTTTGTATTTATTTATATATTTTATATTTATTTATATTATATAAATAAATATAAAAATCAATCAATTATTAATTAATTTGTTATCGATAAATACTATTCCATTCTGACATTAACGCCGTAAACGGTCGAGAAGAATTCGCAAGAAACTCCAATATATTGAGGCAATAAAGCAGTAATAATGTATTAAAAGCCTCAAATAGTGACTTTTGTCCTCATCCTGCCACTTTGTATGAACATATATTATTTAAGTTATTCAAGCTAGCCTAAGCTTGAAAGACTTTAGCGAGCTTTAAAGACGGTTAATATGTATAATAGATAAAATAACTTATAACTATCGACTTCTAATATTTAAAAAAAATTGAATTTTTATATAAAAGAGACAAAAATGCAGAAATGTGTATGTTTAAGCATGGGTTCAGAGTTAAGATTTCGTGTGAACTTATGTCACATGCCATAACTTTATGACACGCGATATAACAGTGATGATGAGCGCTACTTGTTCGTTTTGAGCAGTATTTGGCCTAGTAGCTTCAGCGTGCGACTCTCATCCTTGAGATCATAGGTTCGATCCCGGCTATGCACCAATTGACTCTCTTTCTATATGCGCATTTAACATTCACTTGAACGGTGAAAACATTGTGAGGAATCCGACTTCCTTTAGATCAAAAAGCGGCGTGTGTCAGGCACAGGAGGCTGATCACCTACTTGCCTATTAGATTGAAATATCTTGAAACAGAAATCTGAGACCCAGAGCTAGAAAGTATGTAGCACAACTGATATTCTTATTCATAATATTAATTATCTCTTATCGTTGAAAGTTGATTGCCTTAGTACTTAACTGAGTTAAGGGGCAGGATCCGTTTAAGCTTCCAATTGGATTTATAAACTTAATGAAAACTTAAACACCTTTCGTTTGGCAATTAAGGTTTACATTAATTTACCAAAAGAATTAAAAGATCTTCCGACTAGTTTTTAAAAATCGACTTGGTGTATTTCTCTTGGAAAAAATGTATTATTCAATAAATTATTATTTGCGTGCGACACTGTAGTTGATAAAAATTTAATAAAGTATGATATGAGATGTATGACACAAATAATATAAGAACTGACCAATTCATATGACTAATAATGTAAAATTCCTTTAGACAAATTTGCGCGTTATTGTGTGTGGCAGAACATGCGAACTTACGATGGTACCACCTTACACATTTTTGTACCATATTCTTGCAATAAATTATTATTATTAAAATGACGGGTGGTTATAAGCTGTCAGAGGCTAAACTTTTTGTAATGTTCACTTGTTTTACAGCCACCAACAATCAACCCCGTAAATCTAGTGGTGGAAGGCTCCAGCATGACCATTCTGTGTATTGCCATGGGGACACCGACGCCTACCATATCATTATACATATCAGGTAATTTCAAACTACGTCACGTTAAACAATCATAATAAGTATAATAATCAAATTTAGAGATAGTGTTCAGAGGACTTGTTCGGATATACCTGCAGTTGAGTTTCATCATCTTACGGGGCAGAATACGAAATTCCACCCGTATCACCTCGACGTCTCTTCCAAAACTGAGAGTTTTTTAAGGCAGTTTAGGCCACGCACCATCACTATATGGAACCAGCCGCCCACTGAAGTATTTCCATATTCGACTTTAAAAGAAGAAAAGGCCGACAACGTACTCGCGAGCCCTCTGATATTGAGAGTGTCCATCACTACTATCACTTAACATCAGATGAGGCCCTGTTCTATAAAAAAATAAAAATGCAAATAAAAAAAATTACGTAACATTTTATTGCGACAAAGCTAGACGTTCGTCTAAGCTATCGTTAACTGTTTCGTGAACATTTTAGGACCTCTCAAAGCTTCTAATTAACGCGATTCTAATTAAAACCTTTATATATTTAACTATATTTCGTGACAATGAAATTGTAATTTATCTTAAAAGCGATTTCTCTGTTAAGACTTAAGAGCTATTTGTGTTGCGCAATTTCTGTAGTGTATTGTAAAATTATACTAAAAGGGAAAATTTAAAACAAAATATGAATCGCAGAAATTTACGAGAAATTAATTAAAACTAAAACTATGGCCTCACATAGTAGATAGGAAATGCCTGTAAGCACAATTTCAGAATTACTAACTTTCACATAATAGTTTGTAACAATTATAGAACATTTTTATTTTAAATTATATGACAGGGGAAAATGTGCAGGAGGCTCACCTGATGTTAAGTTACATTGCCAGAGGAATCGCAAGTGCTAGACCCTAAATCGAATTGGTTCGGAAATGCATCAGTGTTTCACATAGCGGTTGTGCGCGGCAAACTTTTTCTTTTTAGAATGAAATGAAACTCTTATATATCAAAATCGGCTTGTCGGGCATAAATGGCTGATTAACTGTCTTGGAGTTAAATACCATTGAACCAGGCAAAGATGTTTACTTAACAATTCAGTCATAAGATATTGCATATCAATCTAAATTTTATTATATTTTCAGTTTCCTTTCATTTTTTAAATACTTTCGTCTATTAATGTACGTACTTATGTTATCTGTTTCATATATATTGTTTATCTATGTAATCTTTTTGGCTTTGTATATTGTCTAAGTGTTTTGTTTTATAATATGTATGGTAGCTGTAAGATTACTAATAAATAAGTAATTAATAAAATTATCAGTTGGTCGTCAATTTCGGATAGTGTTTCATGTCATAATAAAGTGTTTAAAAAAATGTATTCCATGTTATTTAGGTCGGCTCGTCCGTCAAGAGATGACACGTCATATGGTGACTGTGATTCATAACGTGACGCGAGACATGGACCAGATATCGTGCTACGGGGACAATGGCTACGGCACGCCCATGCAAGCGTCTCGCAAGATCAATATTTCACGTAAGTCCGATAAGTGCATACTTTCAGCTTTCAAATATTTCTCTCATATAATTTATTTTAAAATAAAAATAAATAAAAATAAAAATAATGAAATATTGTGTAGATATTGTTTATATCTTTGACGGATATAAACGCAAATTTATTTACATAACTAGACTAGTCTAGTTATGTAAATAAATTTGATAACCAACAATTATTATACCATATATAACTACTATTTGATATTTAATCAAACTCAAACTCAAACTCAAAATATCTTTATTCAAGTAGGTAACCAAGTACACTTTTGAATCGTCAAGTTAAATTAATCGTAAATTTACATTTACTACCAGTTCGCAAGTCAAGGGCGTAGAGCGGGTAAGAAGAACTGGCAAGAAACTTTCCGCCACTCTTTTTAATCGCCAAGTATTGTCATACAAATTGTTTGAACTGGAGCAATTCAATCCCAAGGATTAGGATCATTTAAGTAGTCCTCAAATTTATAAAAAGCTTTGTTGATTAATTTTCGTTTAACGAGGGCTTTGAATTTATTTAGTGATAATTCTCTAATTTCGCTTGGGAGCTTGTTGTAAAAACGAATACAATTTCCATATAAGGAGTGGTTTATCTTTTGGAGCCTGGTTGGTCGTACACTCAAATTAGTTCTATTTCGCGTATTATACTGGTGAAAGTCACCATTTGTTTTAAAATCGTTTATATTTTTTTGGACATACAACAAGGCTTCAAGAATATATTGACCAGATAGTGTCATAATATTTAATTCCTTAAACTTATTCCGTACCGACTCCCTCGGAGAAACACAACAAATACCCCGAACAGCCCGCTTCTGCAGCACAAATATGGATTGAACCTCTGCAGCAGCACCACAGTAAAATGCCGTACGACATAACGCTATGAAAGTAGCTATGGTACACAATTTTAGCCGTGTCCTCATCAGTAAACTGTCGGATTTTCTTTACTGCATATGCTGCAGAGCTCAGCCTATTCGAAAGAGTCTCTATGTGTGGGCCCCATTGGAGTTTACTATCTATTGTTATGCCTAGAAAAACAGTTTTGTCAACAAAGTTTAGTTCACTGTCCTTAATTTTCAGGTTACCAATATCTCGCTTTACGCTAGTAGTTGTAAATCTAATACATTTTGTTTTATTCTCATTAAGCAATAAGTTATTTACATTAAACCAGTTAACTATACGAGAGATAGAATTGTTTACATCGTCCAATAATACGTTATTCCTATTCACTTTAAATAGAAGTGAAGTGTCATCAGCAAACAATACCATCTCATGAACTTCGTTGACAAAGAATGGGAGGTCATTTATGTAAATCAGAAATAAGAAAGGCCCGAGAATCGATCCTTGGGGGACGCCCATTGATACCTGCGAACCCGGAGAGGTGACTCCATTGACATGAACTCTTTGGATCCTTCCCTTTAAATATGAATTCATCAGGCTGGAAGCTTTGCCATCAACGCCATAGTGTTGAAGCTTTCCAACGAGTATATCAGGATGAACACAGTCAAAGGCCTTTGACAGGTCACAAAAGACGCCGACTCCATCATATGATTCTTCCCAGGCGTTAAATATGTCCGAAATCAACTTCACACCGGCATCGATTGTGGAGCGACCCTTAGTGAAACCATACTGTTTATTATGTAAGAGTTTATTTTTATTAAAATGTAAAGAAAGCTGGTCTAGCATTATCTTTTCAAAAACTTTGCTCAACGCAGGGAGCACGGAAACAGGTCTGAAGTTTGACGGATCAGACTCACTACCGGCCTTGAACAACGGTGTAATCTTACTTAATTTCATTTCGTCCGGAAAGACTCCACAATCGATACATCTGTTAAAAATTATAGACAATTCAGAGCTTATTACATTAATAACGGAATTTAAAATGACTGTTGACATACCCCATATATCTTTACTTTTTTTAAATTAATAAGCTTAAAAGTTTTAACGATATCATTACAAGTTATATGTTTAAACTGAAATTTAATATTACATTCAGGTACACATTTTTCTAGCAATGAGATCGCAGCAGCGGGTGAAGAATCTAGGGACTTGGTCGTATTTAGTGGTACATTTGTAAAGAACTCTTCAAAAGAAGAAGCTACCTCTGGGTCAGATTTTATTAACTTCCCTTTAACTTTTAACATATAATCAGTTCGTTTGTCAGACGTTTTACCTGATTCTTCATTTATTATTTTCCAGGTAGCTTTTACTTTATCCATGCTATTTTTTATTTTGAACTTAAATATTGAGACTTTGCAGTTTTGCAATCTTTTTTGAAATTATTTGAATACAACCTAACATATTCCCTAAATTCCACACTAGTGTTATATTGCATTTCGTCATAGATTTCATATAATTTTAACCTTTTCCTGTGTAACTCCTCATTTGCCCAGTCACAGAAACTTGTTTTCTCAGAGACCAATAAAGTCTTTTGAGTAAATACTTTCTTGAATTCATCAATAAATGATCCAAAAAAAGTATTGTATAAATTATTAGGGGATGAGTTGCCACACAGAAATGGCATTCTATAGACCAATGCTTCTCTAAATCTGTCCAAACGGTCATTTGTAATAGGAGTTATCACAATTTTCTTCTTTTTACATGTTTTTTGTTTCCTTAATTGGAATTCAAACCATTGACCAGTGTGATCAGATTTAAATCTATTGAAAATACAAACATTCAAAGGGGCTATGTCACTATATATATTATCTATACAAGTTGCGGTGCTAGCTGTTATTCTTGTGGGTGAATGAAATTGATTTATTAAATTGTATGAACGAAAAAGACTAAGTATGCGTACACTTGAATTAGAATGACAAAGTAAATTGACATTAAAGTCCCCACACACAATTAGCCCTTTATTACACTTTACTAATTTACACAATATCTCCTCTAATACATTTTCAACATTATTATAGACAGCTGATGGAGGACAATATAGACATACAACAATGAATTGCTCCAGTTCCACACAGGAGATTTCAATAGTTAGTTCTACAGAGAGGCTGATAATATCCTTTCTTTCTTTGCATTTAAGTTTTTTACTTATTAGGATTAATGAGCCACCATGAATTGCATTTTCTCTGCAAAACACACTACCAACCCTGTGGTTACAAAAATTAAACAAAACTTCATATTTTTTTAACCAGTGCTCTGTTATGCACAAAAGTCTATTTTTTGACTATTCAAGAACAGTTCAATTTCTAATTCTTTATTTTTCATCCCCTGTATATTTTGATGAACCACAATAATTTTTTGGGAATGAATTTTATCACATAATATACTTACCTTATTATTGCAAGAGTGGTGCTCTGTTGTCCTATTATCTAATTTAAATAAATATTATTTGGAATTTCTTCCAAGGTCTTATAATCTAATTCTTGCTCAATAGAAGCAAGGGGTCTAGCCAAATTCTTGGCTGTCATCTCTATAAAATATGATAGCGAAACAGCTATCTGTCTTTTAAGAAAGCAGGTAGGTAATAATATCTACCCTTTGTAATAAAAAACTTTTTCGTATACCTATTGGTATCTATGACACAAAATTTATCACTATACATTGCCAATGTATGCAATGTTTGATTAAGAAATATTAAGGATAATAATATTTAGGATTGCTGGACCGTCAAGAATGTAATAAATAAAGTTGTATTTAAATGAATAAATTTCTAATATAGATTTTTTTTTAATTTTAATTAAAATGATAGGTATACAAATATATAGCGAAAAGTGAATGCTGGGGTTTACTTAAATTTTGATTGACAGCATCTTTAACCCACATGACGCGATCCGACTTTACATTTGGCCTATCACAATTATACGAGAAACGCCTTCGTCTAGTTTTCATTTCCAAAAAAACATTAAAAACTTTTTCACAGATGTACCTACAATCCAGGCGTCTGGAATAACAATGGCGGCAGCTGGAGATGCTGTTATCCTGGAGTGTCGAGTAGAAGCTCTTCCTAAGCCCACTATAGCTTTCTGGAGGGACCCCAACGGAAGAACCCCAGTCATCGATGGTCCCAACTACAGCATTCAACTATTGGCTGATCCAGAGGTTTGCTATCTATATTTTATTCTAAAGAACGTCAATCCAACACGCAAATACATAGTCGAAATAACATCACCGCATACACGAATTCAAGTTAAAATTATCCGTTTGATAAAAATTAAATTAATTTGATAATATTTCAATTTCCGAACGAAAAGATTTAATTATGGTACTATCGGTAAGGCTTAGTCTATCCGATATCAGAATATTGGAAAAAATTTTTTAGTCTCATCTTTATTCATTGTTCATTTTAATAGAAATATTTTGGTTTTATTAATTCGCTTCAATTTTCGGTTAAAGAAAATTGTATATTTTTGTAGATAATATTTACAAACCTTTGACCTTTAGCTCAACTTCTGAGATCTGTAACCAGACTGGTTTAAAAATATATAAGTATCAATAAATTATCCGCGTTTAACGCGATTATCTTAATCCAACCATTTTTTTTTTATTATTTAGAGAATAATATATTAAAATCATAATAAATGTTTGGATAAATGTAACCATAGCAGTCTTGTTTAGGAACGCGACACAACTTTCCCCTATCTTCATTTTTATATGAGTCGAGCGCATTTTTCGAGATTTCGTATATAACCTCGAAGGTTATATATTAGGTTGAGACACGTTGGGTAAGTTCTACCGTAGATAGGTAGACCATATTAACTGACTCGCAAAGCGCGTTGTAAAGTGACAGTCTGGTTTTAAAAGGGATACGCTTTTTGAGTATTGTTATTTGTGGTAAAAACTGCATCTTTTTGTCGATAATTAAATCGTATAAAAGCTGTGTTAAAGTTTTGTTTCGAGGGCGCATCTGATGAAAATAGATGCCATACAAATTGCATATTTGTTATCATTAGGTCCCAATTAGGGGACAACTGGTAGTTGGGGTAGAACTTTAAAAGGGCCTTCGCACACAAACTTAAATTAATATAACTGTAACTTTTTAGGACTTTTTATTAATTGAGTAATAATTCTTACCAGGAACAAACCAAGTACACAATGAGGCTCATAATCAAGAAGATAAGTGAAGCAGACGAGGGTGACTACTTCTGTCATGCTGAGAACGCCTTCGGGAAGACTTTGAGACCAGTCTCAGTGAGACTTAGGTCAACCATGCCACACCATAATGTCACAGAGTGCTGTGCTGAGGTAAGATGAACCTGACTCTTGATAATAAAACTTACATCGTGTTCTCGTTAAACTAAGATTAAATCTCTGCGTTTTTTATTTGATCTAAATATTTGTTGAATTTAGTTGATTTCATTTATAAAAGTTAATGCGACATTTACAGTCAGCCCTATCAGAAAGAATAGTGGATATGTAAATAGATCACTAGTGCTACTACTACTCCAGCCTCTGCTTTTGCGATTCGTGGTGAAACAGTAAAGAGCTGACTGTGCACACTCATTGGGAACAATGTATATTTATTTATTAAAGTTTACCACATCATATATAGTAGTAAATCTACGTTATATGTTACAAACTCTTTTATCTAAAATGTATGACGATTTAGGTAAATATAAATGTAACAAAAAATATTTAAAAAAAATACCATAAATAACTAGACATTTTTGTTAAGCAGAAAAAAATACCTGCAAAACAGCGTATTAGGTTCAATGTAATCAAATACAGTGTAAACTTTTTATAACGAATTTCAAGGGACCGAGCATTATTTTTTTCGTTATACGGAGGGAAGACAAAAATACCCAAATTTAACCAATTACAATAATTTCTAATTTTATTTCCATCAATAGGTAAATTATTCTAAACACAAATATTCTGTTATCTTTGCCTGACGTGTTTTGCTATGCCAGTGACAGTGTTAATGCAATTAACAATAACAAAGGCGAGACGGCTGTTTATGACCTCAGGTGTCTTGTAGAAATTTTGGCACCTCAAAAGGTGATTATAAAAACAATTACACTTAAGTATGTTATTGATGTCGAAATATGAAAATATTTCTTAGTAATAGAGAATGGCTGTTACGTTATAAAGAGAGACTAATGTATGGGTTTTGTGTTAAACCAAACAAATTTAATCATTATTAAGTATTAATACGTAATACAGAGAATTTCTGAGACATTTCAGAGACACTATAAAGAATTTACACTGTAGTTTCAAGTCAAAGTTACCTTAGTTATTAGTAGGTTACCTTTAAGTTATTATTTCAAAATATTAAAAGGGCAGATACAGTCCATTGCAATGACCAATGTAAGGGCAAGAAGTATTAAGGGCAAAAGCCAGGCAGAGTTGAAATATGGTTTAAGACAATTAACACCTTTATTGGGTAATGATTTGTTTTATTGATCACTGTATACTTCAGTAAGTGATAATGTTGCCAGCATGGCGTAACTTAAACGTATTTTGAGTGGAAAGCAAATCGCTCAACCGTTAGATTGCCTAAAGACGGGTCATCGACCAATACGCTTGGTGAAGTGAGTTCCCAAGCTAATTCGATGTGGAAACCTAAATAATATTGTGATATACGGTAGCAACTATAAGTTGTGAATTTTTGAGTTATGCCGTTACGAAGTTATACTTTATCATCAAACTATTTATTTATTTATAAAAGCACAGTAGACTGATATATTGGTACAAGAAAAAAATTACAAGTAATTTGACACAAATTAAGACTGCTATTTATAGAAATTATTCATATCATTGACAAAAATAAAAAATCTGTTGCGCTCCAACCTATTTTTAGCTCTGGGGCTCAGATTTCTGTATCTGTTTCATGATATGTCAATCTAATAGGCAAGTAGGTGATCAGCCTTCTGACATACGCCGCCGACTTTTTTGGGTCTAAGGCAAGCCGGTTTCCTCACGATGTTTTCCTTCACCGATCGAGCGAATGCTAAATGCGCACATAGAATGAGAGTAAATTGGTGCACAGCCGGGTTCGAACCTACAATCTCAGGGATGAGAGTCGCACGCTGAAGCCACTGGGCCAACACTACTCTTGCTCTGTATTGACAGTATACGATATTGCTTTTTAAATAAATATATAACTGAGCATCGTTTTCACTCTGTTTTCTAATCCTTTCTTTTATCAGAGTTGTCAATTTACTTTGATACTTTGTGCCATTGAAATTGTTTCGCGAGTTAAAAGTTGAAATACTTTGAGCTGACGTTGAAATTTCAAAGAGTTTATTTGAGAATTTTGAAAATTAACTTCAATATTGTAAATTGTGAACGTTCGCTCTTATAATGATTAGCTTTCTTTGAACTTGGTACGCACTTAAATGAGTTTTTTAGGTAAATTTTTAAACTTTTATTGTAGTTGCCCACTTTAAATTTGTCTGGAAAATTATTCATTTATTTCAACCAATAGATAAACAGTTTTGTGGCTTTAGCGTGTCTCTCATTCCTGTCAAAACATCGTGAGGAAGCCGGCTTGTCTTTGACCCAAAAACCCATGCCGGGTTGAGTAAAAAAAAAACCTTGCTTCTTAAAAAAATGATCACGGAACACATACAGAAATCTCAGACTCAGAGACCTAGATATAAGTTGTAAACACTTTTATGTAAATATTTTTTTGTATGTGTGTCTAATAATTAGCTTGTATAATAAAATCACGTTTGTTAATTTGAATTATCCTTAGGACCGTATTGTAGTCATATAAACTTAAATCTGCTTTCGAGAGCTATCAAACCATTTTCGATCGACATATTTGACGGAGCTCAAGCGGAGATTGCGAATTAGCTTTTGGTATACAGCCTTAGACATCATTTTCTTAAAACTACATGAAAAGAAAAATACTCCTATCCATGCAAAAATTATAATAAATAATATAACTTTCCCTACACTAATTTGAATGCCACTTTCATATTCTCACTTTGTACCTTCATAATATTTATCAACACATAATATTTCATATAATTAAATAAAATCGAAATCACAGAGAACCTTTAAATGACAAAGAATCTAATTTTGTCGAAATATTTATATATATTTTAAGTATTATCTACATATGTATAATTTGTATTAACAATTTTCTTACCCAAAAAGTAAAATAATAAACATTAAAACAAATTATATAACATTTAAAATGCCTTTTTGTAGATGAACGTGTCGTCGTCATGCATAGATGCCTGCAGCTTCCACCTTGACATGGACAACATCATGGACCGTCCCGAGTGCATCAATGATTTTGACAAGTTGATGAAATGCGCTGCCGATGGCTCTGGTAAGAACTTTTATCTCACAGAATCCCACGACAAAGGTCAGATATCCAGAAACCAGTCTGTTAACTTAGCTTCATGTCAAATCGCTATACCAAAGGTCCACAGATAGAAATCACTTGAACAATTCATATGTAAACGTCTCCTTGAATCTTATATTGACGTAGGAAGTAAGTAATACATTTTCTCGGGTTTCGCCAGTTTTCCCGCTGCAAACTTAAATTTGTACGTATAAAGAATACATATGTAAATGTTTTGTAAGACATAGTGTAAAATAATAAGATTTATTGGCTTAACTTATGTTGCTAATTCAATCAGTTGGTATACCAAAAAAGAATATTTAAAAAAAAGTGCGTGCGTACAAAGTACACATGTCAGAAGTGAAACTTCTTTGGCTAACTAATTTTCAAGTCTTGTTCATATTTATACAAATCTAAAACTTTAGATTTCCGAGACTTAGAGGGAGGGAAAAAGGAAGATATGTTAGGAATTTAATTGTTATGAAAATATTAAAAGTGTCGAAAATTTATGCAAATTTTAAAAAACACGTGGCATTTTAATTTACAATTCGTCATTTGGGATTTCAATAAATTATTTTGCATAAAATATAAAATACTAATATTTCATAAATTCTCTTTACGAAATTTTAATTTTAAAAATAGAATTTCTATAAGGTACTTCGCCCTTCTCACTCTCTCTCAATCGCTCTCAATCGCTCTCAATCGCTCTCAATCGCTCTCAATCGCTCTCTCCCTTTTCTTCGACAAAAACGTTGCACATCTTCGTGACGCTAATATTATTATTATTGCGTTTCATCCGTAAAAATTTTACTCTCATGCGTCTATACAAGTTTCACTTCAAAATACAATTGTTGCACGGCTTTGTCCTTTAATCAATTTTCTTGATGCACCCGTGTATACAGACATCACTTGTAAGTGACAAAGTGTTGTCTGTATACACGGCTCCGATTTTCTGGTGTCTATTACATATTAAAAGTATGACTAAGTTACAATATAAGTGTCCCTTTGTGAGAGAGCAGAGATATTGCTGGAAATTGCATGGCTCTGCCTTGCGATTCTGTAACTCACTTTTCGAACTCACACAGCGGTTTTCGCATCGGCGGTCGCTCTCAAATCAGTCGTGAAGCAGTCATTTCATGATTTGGCTGGTTAGCGCTGCGCTCTTAATCTATTTTATAACATATATTCATAAGTATCTCATTGTCTTTCTTGTAACATGTGCGATGTTTGAGGGCAAAAATAAAATAAAGTAAATGGATTTGGTTACGCACATATACATTGTCGAAAAACTTGAATTCTTAAATGAAATCCTTACTGAATCACTGATCAGCGGTTGACTTTTGAAACGTGACTATTTCCCGATAGCGTGGACAATTCGGAAAGACGAAAACTGAATTTGTATTTGAACAAGTGTCGCATTCGTGAACTTATTGATATTTCACAGAAATTCTAGCATATTTCCTTACTTTTATGAATACTTTAAATTGTGTTGTAGAATTGTGGAGTAGCGATTTTTCACGAACAATTTATTATTATAGATTGGTATGATATCAAATTTTTGAATTTATATTTAACGGAAATTTAGGAAAAATTTATTTTCCTCGTTCGTTCGATTGAAGTATACTATTCTGAATCCCTGCAATATTTATGGTTTTGATTTAGTAGTACATATTACTTTTATTTCCCCGACTCTCTAATTCCAAATACATTGACTAAACAAGTTATTTATATTTTTAGTAAATTGAATTTCACTTATGCTAAAGCGTTTTTTTTAAATTTAAAAAAAGCTTCAGTATTAAAGCATTATTTTTATTTTCATGGACTGACATAATATAGAGAAATACGTAATATCGTATTAAGCAGGTTTTTCAGACAAGTTACCTTCGTCTTTGTGATTCTCTGCAGTGGTTAAATAATTCTAGTTTTATCATTAAGAAATCTTTATAGAAGTTACCTAAATGTTGTTTATTTATATATATATAAACAACAGGGGACAAACATGCTGGAGACTCATCCGATGTTAAATGGGACGCCCATGGACACTTTCATGGCCTGCGATTGCGTTGCAGGATTTTTAGAAATTGTTAGGCTCTTGTCATGAAGAATCCTATGTCGAATTGGTTCGGAAATACTACCGTAATATATATTAATCGCACTCTTCTGAAAACTCTCCATGGTACTCGTAAGTTCGGTAGAAAAAGAAGAAAGACCCCATATCTACGCAATAACAATGACGCAACTCCAAGGGATCAAGCCGCTCGGAAAGTGACTGGTCGTCGACGATTTGAACCGCTCTTCGTTGAATATTTATATTTATTATATATGTTATATATTTAGATCATCGTAGCTGCTGCGCCTCATGGGGCGTTCCTAGAAATTGCCTGGAGCTATGTCGAGGTGGGCCAGTTTCACGCTCCTGCGCATTGCAACACGCTCGTCGCGCATTGGCCTGCTTCCGGGACTCTGGAGCCAGGCTACCAGGACCACCAAGGAATTTGAAAGCTCATGTTGCACCGACACCACACTCTGTTCTATTAAGGTAAATGCATCAATATATAAAGGCCTAATACACAGGTCTTCCACGTATAGGTGTGTTAAGATCAGGCGAGCAAAAACAAACTCTCTTTAAAGAGTGAGTACTTTGTGAAGCGGAAAATAATCTGCTGTATTAAAAAAATAAACATATGTTTATTCATTTGACTACAATTTATTGTAATATTATGTAAGATTTGGGAACCCGTTTATGTAAAAAAAATACCTGTGTCAGGTTCCATAACAAACTTAAAAGTAAATTTCATAAAAAATATATATGTAGATAAATAATTAATTTAATTACATTATTTTTTAATTTATTTGTTTTTTCAACTGTTTTCTAGACACCTGAATGCATGTGTGAGTGTGTGGGTGCACATGCATGTAATGTAAATATCCTAAAATTACTTAAAAATACGGTTTTAAGTAATTCAATGTATAATTCCAAGATTCAGGTTAACTGTACTTAATATATAAAATTACACAAGTACTTAAAATATCTATACATAATAAATTCAGTACAAACACAAAGTGATCAGTTCCAAGTTATGACAATATTCTACTGAGCAAAAATTTCATACACACAAACTTACAAATACCCTTTAAATACAGTTGGGACGCACCGATCAAGAACCCACAAACGGTCTACTTGTACCGGGTATTCTGGCGAGCGTATGGTGCCAAAGTACCTGAGAAGTTGGACACTAGTGAGACAAGTGTGGTACTCACTGGCCTTAATGATGACGTCAAGTATGAGTGTGTAGTCAAAGCTGCAAACGATGTTGGTAAGTGTGAATTCCTATTGAAATTTTTAAAATCGGACCAGTACTTTTTGAGCCAATTCGTTACAAACATACTTACATACAAATCTTTACGCTGTATAATATTACTATAGATAGGAGATTTTATTAAGGTTGACATTTATCATCCTTGTCTCCAGGAACTTCATCGCTTAGTCAATCTATAATGTTCACGACGGCGGGACAAGAGACTGGTGCGGCAGCGGCCCCAGTCACTGGTTCCAGCACAGCCTCCGCTGTAGGAGTGGCAGTTGCTTGTATTTTGGTCGCAGCTATCCTGTTGGCTGGTGGATTCTATTACAAACATAGAAAGGTGAGTCTCTTATAATAAGGATCGTGGGTGAAATTCGTGTTTCATAAGATTATGGCCGAATTTAGTAAACGAGTATTACTCAAATTAAGATTGCATGTTTTTATTTAAATAGTTTTTTCAAAAAGTGTGCGACTCTTATCCTTGAGGTCGCAGGTTCGAGGTCGGGGTTCGTACAGCCCCGGCTGTGCACCAATAGACTCTCTTTCTATGTGCGCATTTAACATTCGCTCGAACGGTGAAGTAAAACATCGTGAGGAAACCGGCATGCCTTAGACCCAAAAAGTCGACGGCGTGTGTCTGGCACAGGAGGCTCATCACCTACTTGATGATTGATCATGAAACAGATACAAAAATTTGAAACACCAAAAAAAAAAAGGTTGTAGCGCCACGTGGGTTTTTTCTATTTTAGTTCTTACAAAAAACCTTTTAAAACTAGTTCCCTGAAGCTTATCAAACTCTGCCGTGGCACTAAGTTAGTTCTGAGTTTGTATAAGTTCTTGTACATAAATTAATAAAACAGAACTAGGGACGTTTCACACCTAAAATGTATTTACCATTACTTCAAAATAAAACACGTTCCAAAGGCATAACTTTATTTAATTGTAAATCGTAGTTATCCTCTGTTATTAATCTATAAAACCCAATTCCATTTACGAATGTTTAATATTGACTAATTTTCTATACTTCAGATAAATTTGAACTACAAAAGGTTGAATACGATATAAAGTGAGCAATATCGTATATAATATCTTAATTCGTCCCTTTATAGATTTAAACGTATAATAAATTTAACACCTGCTAATACGATGTTAGCAATTAATTTCACGTTATTAATCGTATATTCTTCATTTCACAGAATCTAAGGCTTAAAGCTCAAGGTGGAGTTGCCTTTGAAAACCCGAGCTACTTGAGAGAACCAAATCCGGACACTATCGTAAATGTGAGTTATTCACACAAATAAACTCTTTCATCGCATAAACTCGAGATTTTCTAAGCCATTGAAAAGTTGCAATTCAGTAAAATTCAATTTTAAAGTGTGAAATAACTTTAAGTCGTTTCACGTGAAACTTTTGTCGCAGGGTACGGTGCCTAACGGTAATGCGAACGGAGGGAATGGAGTCGCCAACAGTGTCTCAAATAGCACAGCATGGAGACAAGAAACATTACAGAACCCTAGCACGGCAACACCAGCAGCACGAGAAGTAGATCCTACTTTGTATGAGGAATTGAAGCTGGGGCAAGACGGGGCTGGCTTCAAAAGACTGAAATAGCCCGAGGTTCGCCGCTCTCCGCTCCGATCGCCGCGGCTTTCGTCGCGCGTGGCGCCGGAGAACTGAGCGGCGACGGGCAAAGTACCCGCTTATACACCGTGACGTCGCGCGTGGTGAAGTACCCGCATTTGGACTCTTAGTGCTGTTTTCGTACTTCAGAATGTTGTTATAGCTACAATGTACTGCATTTTGAAGTAGTTCGATGTAGTGTCAATGTTAAAAATCCACTAGTGGTCTGGGCGGAGCTTAGATGCAATATATTTTCCATAGTTAAATGTGATTATAACCAAAAAAGATATACTTAAAGCTGTATATATGCAATATGAAAGCAATATTAGCAGTTTAATGGGTATTAGTGGTAGCTAAAAACTTCCAAAAGCCTAATATTTCAAATAGGCGACTAGGTTGGTTCTACCTAGCCTCAAAACGGTTATTTGAATTTAGTGATTTCAACACATAACTGATAATTACCCAAATTTGCAAGCGTTTCTCTGATTTGAAATTCGCACAAACATCAACAAATGTCATTGATCGTTTCGAGTTTGCATTAATATGTTTGCACAGTTAGTTCATCTCAAACGCGTTCATATTGATGAACGTTTAAATTGTAGATAATAGTTTTTAAAATTAGTATTTCTTAAAACATGTGCCTTCGAACAATATGTAGTAGGATAAGTTCGGCCTATATGTAAATACAGACATTCCGTAGTTGTAGGCCTAGATTAAGACCCGAATCTATGCTAAGAAAAAAAAATGGTTTTCTGTAAAGTCGGTTTACGGACGATAGTTTAACGTGACAAACATAACGAAACATTGATAAAATTATTGTATACTTTTATAAATAATAGTGAATCCGCGGACGCATAGGCCAATCAAGTGGAAGAGAGATAGATTCGGCGCAAGCGTACAATGAGCGTAATGAGACAGAGCGTAACGGGACAATGATTCACGCTTTTTTCGTGCGTGCCGCCGGCGTTCATCGAATTATTAGACGTTGTCTCGTCAAAAGTCCTGAAGTTTATTTAAGACAACTGGGCTCGTTCCCTAAGAGTTATATATGTTAATACAATTTTAATTTTCGAATGTAAGATATGAACCTATGTTTTCGTCACAGTTAGTATATGCGATTTAACTCAAGATATACGTATATAGAGATATATGTCACATCAGTGAGCATTTTTACTACATTTCAATGTTTGTCGGGTCTTAGACTGTCTAAAGAATTTATATATATATTGAAATTTATTTTCCACAATTTATTGATAGTTACCCTTATTTCTTATTGCTGAGTAATCACAGTGTTACTTAAATACGAGATATTAATGTGATTTGAAAACATATAAAATGTTATAGATTTCAATAAAAAATATTTTTCCTTCCTTTTTATATTGCTGCCAAATTTAAAATTAATAAATTTTAACTAGCTATCACCGCACTCAGAGAAGTTTATTAAATTTAAATAATTTCAAGTTGAGATCATTTGCTTATAGCGTAACGGAAAATTTCTCAATCATTGTAAAATTAATCAGAAAATATTTCGTATTTTAATACTGTGTATGAGGGTTGACATTTTGACTTTATGTCAACTCTGCTCAGACAAGGATTGTGATTATTAGTGTATTAGGTAATTGATTGCTCTTAACAATATCTCAATTAGTATACTTGTAACCTATCTTTTGATATATTGTTTAGAGTAATTTGTGTAAGACGAATGTGATTAGAGGTGTAAATAATAAAAATATAAATTATTCTTAATTTGTTTCATTTCATCCAACATGTAATACCATAACCATATTCTATCCTGCTCAATCTTGACTGTTGTAATTGTTGTATTTCCTTTTCTTTTGTATTGCATCGCCATCCATGAATCCGTGAGATTAGCTTTTAGATTTTTAAATATTTTTTTGTACTATTTTAGATTAAGAAGGTTATTTAATTCTTTTATTAAGATTTGGTTATGTAGTTGTTGCACTTTACCCATCATTTCTTTTTTTTAGTTTTGCCTGGGTTGCCTTGAAGAGATCGCTTGTTAGCGATAAGGCCACCCGTTGCATCCCTTATAATTTGTATGTATTATGTTATTTGTTATAATGTAACGAAATAAATAAATGTAATTTATCAGGCACCTGTGTTGTAGAATGTACTTGTGTATCCATTTTACCAGGTATCCAATGTTATTAATAATAGGTTCTCTGTGAAAGTTGTTACGTGGAAAGAAAACAATCCGGCTGTGCTCCAGTGCCAAGGCCTAAGGGGCCTTAGTGAGATGCCTTAACAGTAGTGTATATATGGATGACCTACTTGCCTATTAGATTGACATATCATGAAACAGCTACAGAAATCTGAGGCCCAGACCTAAAAAAAATTTGTTGCACCACTGATTTATTATATTTTCAGTAAGCATAACACTTGAAACAATAACTTTTTAATTATGATTACTGTATTAAAATTACGAAAGACAAGCCAAAGACATATAGAGGAGTGGAAGCACCAAATACGAGAATAGAATAACTCTCGGTTATTCTAGTGCTTTTATAAACCATAAAAATTCTGAACATAATACTATTCAAATCTTTATTAACGTTACAGATTTGATAGAGAATTGTCAAAATCTATTAAAATGCATTAAAAATCATCATCTGATTTTTTCTACAACAAGAAATTTTTAAGTAAAAATAAAAATTGAATGCCGGCAACGCACTCGCGAGCCATCTGGCATTGAGAGTGTGCATGGGCGGCGGTATCACTTAACATTAAAAAAAATTAACGGTTTCCTATTGCAGAAGATAAGACATCTCTCAGAGCTATCTGGACAGCTTACATATATTTTCTTCGCTATAATCTTAAAGAGATAGTTTTTTACATTCAACTATAAAACTGTATTCCTTTTCTCCATAAAGTATGATTAATTCCCGGAATTTGTAAGAAAAACACATTCAGTGCACCTGTACTAATGTCCTTTTTATTTTACTGTCGGAAGAAATGAATAAAAACTGTCTCAATAGAAACATTACATTTCTCTCAAGACGATTTCTTGACACGATATATATTATTTATTTCGAAATTCTCAACCAAAAAAGATTTAAAATTTAACAAAGTTTAATACAATTTTTGTAGATTTATTAAAAAAATATTTCAAAGACCTATTTAAATATAAGAGCAGTGTTGGCCTTGAGGCTTCAGCGTGCGACTCTCATCCCTGAGGTCGTAGGTTCGATGCTTTCTATGTGCGCATTTAACATTTGCTCGAACGGTGAAGGAAAACATCGTGAGGAAATCGGCTTGCCTTAGACCCAAAAAGTCATTATAGTTGACATTTGATAGTCGCAATACTGGATGTATTATGGAAAAGACAATAATATGTATGTATAACTAACATGATAATTTCTACAATTATATATTTAAACTACTGTTGCACAATAAGAATACTTTCCGTTTCTATATGTTTAACGGTTTATAACATAACTTGTGTTACGTAAAAAATATTTATTGTATATTTCGTTAAGGCTTTTAAAAAGCCACAGAGAATAGATACTTGAAAATTCAACAATGGTAGTACAATGATTTTCAAATTAATATTCATACTATTGTAACGTAGGTTGTATTGATTTAGAATTTCAATCAATGCAGTGTATTGATCTTTTCTAACTTTTATTAGCTTCATTTAAAAAGGGTCCACTAAAGAGGAGAGTATGTAGAGGTAAAATTACAAATGAAATAATTAAATAAACAAAAATACATTAGTGGCGCTACAACCTCTTTAAGTCTAGGCCTCAGATTTCTGTATCTGTATTAAGATTATTTGTTAATCTTATTGGCAAGTCATCAGCGGCAACATCAGCGAATGTTAAATGTGGACTTAGAGAGTCCATTAGTGCACTGCCGGGGAACCTCAAGGATGAGATTCGCACGTTAAGATAATTTTGCACTTCTTCTTCTTATAGTGCCTCTCCACTACTGGAGGCTGGTGGTCAGCTCGCCATACTTCTTATTCTTTGCCAATCACATCAGCTGTTCTACGCTGGCCACTCACGTCCATTCTCTGATATTGCGGAGCCACGACTTTCTCCTTCTGCCAGCGCGTCTTTTCCCCTCGACCTTCCCCATCATGATGACTTAAAGAATTCGGTACCGTTCGTGTCGAAGCACATGTCCCAAGTAACTTATCTTCTTCCTTTTAATGGTCAAAGTGATTTCTCGGGATCGTTTGGCGCGCCGTAGAACTTCTTCGTTCGTGACTCTATGGCCCCAGCTTATCCTCAGCATTCTTTGGTAACACCACATATCATTTCATTGAATTTTGCTCAAGGGTTCTCTTAAAACAACAAAACCGAAGCTAAATTAAATCGTAGTCAAATTAACCCTATGTAAACATTATACAATAGATGTGTTATAAAATATCTCGCTTACAAGGATCAAAGACACAAAGAGCTGAAACCTCTTTGATTGTATGTTGGTTCAACGCTCGGAAAAGCTCGATTGAAAGCCCGGGGGAATATTAGACCCAGTATATAGTTTCAAAGCTTTAGAAGGGGTTGATTGGTTTTGTTTTTAATTGTTAAGATCTCTTTTGTGTGAACCGTGAAATGGTTGGGAGAAGTAGCTTTAGAATTAACCCGCTATATCTGGTATATATTTCCAACATACATTTACAATATTCTTAACCAACATAGTTATAATAATAAGAATTAAAAATTAATGAATAAGAAATTAAAACAAACTTTAAAAGTTTGGTCCATAGTGCAGTGTATTTTTAATGCTCACGGTTCCTCGCTGTATAGCGATACATATTGGGCGAAAGCACCAGGTCTGGGGTCACCGGTACTATCTTAATCTTTAATTAGCGCCTGTGCACTTAAACCGCACCGCAAGAGACTCTTGGGCCGTTTCGGTAAATTAGTTCCAAATAATGTAGTCATCAAATTTTTTTTGTGAAGTTTTTTATCGCCTTTTGGCTCTGTACATAGATAAAATCGTGTCCCAATTACAAATATTATTGG